TCTATTCATGGGCCCTTTCCTTTTATATTTAAACCTTATGGATCGTCTCTCAAGCTATTCTCTTTGGTTGCTTACACATTCATTAATGTTTTAACCTCTTCATTTCAAAGTGTCAATATATTTTGAACAAAAATGTTTGTTATTAGTGTTGGTTTAATTACTATTACTTAGTAAAGTAATCTATTGCCACTAGAATAAATCTTTTCAGACTTAATACTAAGTTAGGTTGGGCCTCACTTGAGTTGAAGTATTTACCAGTGTTCTAAAAGGTCTATTCTTACCCATGGGTGGGACTTCATGAATCTTAAGATGTGAATTGTATTTCCTAATGTGCCTACAGTTGGGGATATGTCAAAGCTCTTGTTTTAAGAAAGTATCAATCTTTTGAGAGGATGTGCAAATTTGAAGCATATGGAGCTACAACACTATCCCATACCACAACATTGTTGATGAGGGAATATGGTGTTGTTTTGCAACCTCTTGGAGGGACTTAATGACCTTAAGTGAGAGTGAGCATATGAGGTAGAGAGGTAAAGTTTAAAAGCCTCTATGGACATTTATAAGCAATCTCATAGTGACTGTGATGCAATTGCATGTAGGTGAGAATAATATGTGGATTGCTAGCAATAGCTACTAGGTTTGGCTTTACCTTTTTTGCCCTAGATCCACCACAGATAATGGTATAGAGTTACTATTGCCTCCTGAGAGATATGCCAAAGGTCTATGCTAGATAAATTTAGTGCTATATGACATCCACTAGGCATTTTTTTCCCATCTGTAAGTACTTAAGCTTTTACTATTTTGTGAAGCAAAGGTTGGAGTGATTCTTAATTTGCCACCCAACTACTTGGAGTGCCACATAGAGAATATGGCAACACAAAGTGGTGCCATACAAATTCATTAAAGTTATCCATCCTTCCTCATTTCTAATACAAAGTTAAGAGATACAAGTGCATAGCAAATGAGTTCTTAAGAAAGGGTGTATATAAGTTTATAAGTGGTAACACCAAAGCTTGGCTTAGAGTCATTGTGGATCATTAGAATTTTGAGGGATAAATAAGATAATTAATAAACTTAAGGGGAGAAAGATAAGGTGTACTACATGTAATATCAAAAGAAATTACATAGGTTTAATTCCCATTGATTAGTGATTACTTAAAATATAATATACCCTTGAGCAAGGTATATTTTTATCCCTGAATTTAAAATTGTATACATGCGTCCTTCTTATGCAGCTCTTGTCTATAGATGCTCCACAATAGGAAGGTATCTATACAATAAAAAGATTGATAGATTCAGTGCAAAAATAAAAATATTAATTCGCCTTGGCTCAGTACGGGTTGTTAGTTAATATGTATCTAAAGGGGGGGATGGGTGAGTCTAGTGCATGTGATTATGGGATGAGATTTAGATATACAATTACTATGGATTTTTAAAATAATAGGGATAAAATAGCCACTAAAGGCTTTCTCATTAAGTAATTGCCCTTTCTTAAGTTGGCTTAATAGAAGAGAAATAAGGTGTGTTATAAGTGTTCAAATGTCTTAATTAATGTGATGCTAATTTATGCTCAATTTTCTTCTTTTATGAGTAGTTGTGGTAATTCTAACAATAAAAGCTAAAGCTTAATTATATGTCATTGGATTGAAAGTCATTAGTTTCCACAACACTCATAATGCTATGCTATCACTCATGTTAGATATTGGTGTAGACAAGCAGAAATTTCAGGCAATGATAGACAACTTCCACCTTTGCCTCATCCAATGTAAATTAGCATGCTTTCCAATTTTTTTCATGTGGATGCAACTTATAGTACCTAAGTACATTTTCTTACTTGCAAGTCCTTGGAAGCCTTGAATACAAAAACTAAACAATCTCCAAGCTTGGCAAAACTATATCTCCACATTTTTGCATTGCAATTCAATGCATTTGCCAAACAAATTGAGAAAGAGCTAAAGGAAGCCAATATTTCAAGCCTTGCTTCCATTCCCTAACCATGGAAGATGTTGTAACCAAAGTTGAAAAACTCTTAAAACAAAGTATCCATTGTTGGAAGCATGTTTTATAAAATATGGCATTCTATTTGTAAATCCTCTACATGCATAGTATAGTCCAAGTGGCATTCTCCAATTGGACAAAGTCCAAATACCAATGAGATAAGCATATATGCATTTTGAATGGTACATGATGGGTTATACATACAGGTCATATATATCCCATTCATTATTATATTTAAGTATCACTTAGGGTTCTTAAGGAGGAAAGGCATGTGGTTCAATTTTAATAGTATGGTTATTATGGTAGTGAAATTGGTTTGCTTTTTGGTAGTGATTAGAAATATTCATAATGAGTAAGATTTGCCCATTTATGAAATTGGACTCAAATGCAAATTTTACAAACAAGTGTACTAGTGGAAAATGAATAAAGTGTGGGGTTGTTATTAGGCTTCAATTCCAACACTTTTTTAGTTAGCAAAAGTGAAGATGAAAATGAAGATTTTGATGTTTCAATGATGAATAAATAAATTTCTAAATTAGAGGGTCGTCAATATAATACCTTTTATAAAGCTTTAATAACTTTTTGAAATTGAGGGGATTTGTGTAGTGTATTCTATCTCTATCAACTGGCAAAAGGGTAATTATTTAATAAGAAAACCCTTAGTGGCTATTTTATCCTTATTTAGCCCTCAAGGTTCTAAAAAACTAATATATCCAAATCTGATCCCATAATCACATGCATTACACTTTACTAGTGGAGCAGCATTTTACGTATAGATTCTTGAGATAAAGACCATGGCTTATCTTACAAATTATTTAGAAATTACACAATCAACATTGTATAAATATATATGGGTGGATACAAATTGGAAAGGGGTGTACTATAAGATACTGATAAAGGAAGTTCTTAACCATGTCCGGACTAATATTCTTGTGAATTGTATAGGGAAAAATTAGGAATTATCAACTCCCATTCCTATTATCGAGTAGTTGGTTACTATTTTACTAAGTATTAAATTCGCAAGGCATTAATTTTACATGATCCAAGAAAATTGCACAATAGGCATTTGTCATGAATTTATCGATGTAACTACACCAATAAGACACTTTATACACTATGTCATATAGATTGTAAATGTTTTTCTTCCTTATCTTTTCTAACCATTATTTTTATTGTTTTGTAGCATACATCTATACCATAATTTATTGGGTAATACATTTTATTGTGGTCTATGACCAAACAGGCCAATGCTATTTTCAATACATATACATGGGTTGTACGACATTTTGGGAGGCTGAAATGAATAAGGAGCGATAATACTTCTGAACATAATGGCATGAAAGTTGATACAATTCATTGTTAGGGTGTAAAGGTAAAAGCTTTATATGTAAACCATCAATACATGGTTTAAAATTTAACCTTTTTGAAATTTTTTTTTAAAGTGCATCGAACATTTGTGGTGAGAATTGTATGAGTAAATGATGTGGTTTTACAAACATCTCTTTGAGTTTATAGAAGATATTAGTATTCTTGATATAAGCAATCCATGGCATATATAAAGCTTATAGAATGTATTTTCACTTTATTTTATAAGAGACATTATTGATTAGGTTGTAACATAGAATTTATATAAGGTTCATCCTTTTAGATATGGTGAATACTTTAAAGCATCCCACATCCCTATTAATTTATTCCAATTGATGGAGTTAGCAATTGAGTAAAATAAAGACTTTCGTTGATAGGCATTCTAGTATTGTTTAAATTTTTTTTTTCTTCTAAAATAGTTCAAGTTCACTCACAAAAGGATATTAAAGATTTATTAGGAGAATTCATTTCTAGTATTGATAGAGCAAGTCTAAATTTAGTAATTTATCATATTATTTAAGAAGTAGAATAACTAGGGTTTTTCATTATGTTATGTTTTAATAATGGTACATTGGCTGGAGGCTCTCTAAATGCCAATATTAAAATATAATCAATTTCAAATTTTAGATCATATTATAGTCAATTACAAATTTTAGTGTAAATAAAAATCATGTAATTTTACATAAGTAATTTAGATTCTCTTTTTGTTTTAAAATGGATTGCTAATCTTATTTTTGGTTTCTACATAGCCAAGAAGCTCTAGCCTATTGTATAAGATGGAACTCACAATGGAGTTTAAGCACGCATAGATCTTCTATAGTTGAATTCTTCTACAATGTCACTCAATACACACTAAATTGGCATCATGATTACATTAAAAAAGAGCCCCTTAAAATTCAACATGCCCACCTAAGCATGTCAACCATGTAGCATGATGGAGCAAGGCTGCTTACAGTTACACCCAGATGGAGGAAGTAAACAAGATCAAGGTGTAGGAGAGGAGCTTGATTATATTTACTCCGCAGCTATGGTTCTAGAGCAACAAGCAAGACAAGGAGGAGTTATAGGATCATGTTGCCAGCATGACTTACAATGGGCTGGGCTACAAGGTGCAAAAGTTTGACATTGTGAGAGCTAGTGTTTGGAAAGCCCAAGCCTATAAGGATTGTTTTCAAGGATTTTGAGAATGCTCATGTACTTTCTTACTGCATTATAAGTCACCCACTGATCAATTGATGTTCTCCTCCAAAGCAATTACAGACAAGCTTTGAATGGGTATAATGGATGAATGTATTATAGGGATGTGTAGATATGACACATAGGATATAGGGGATGGGGCTATTCAGATTACCATAATGGCCATCCCAGAAATTTGCAAGAAAATTTCAGGTATATTCAACAGATATTATATTATATATGCACCAATAGGGAGCTGCCGCGTGGCACATGGTAGAGGATTTACAACTAGCACGCCATAGTAATTTACCTCATTGTTTGCAGGAGATTCTCAGCCAAATTAGATTCCTGCTCGGAATGGGGAAAAAGTTATTTCTACAACGCGTTGCTTTCTCGTAGGTCCACCCTGGGCCCTTTACACTGTTCTCTCATTCCCTTCGCATTTTCTCTTTCTCCCTTACCGGGACGCCGCCTATTCCGGATCGATAGCAAGCAATGCAGCGATTGCTAGCCGTTTCTCGAGCTCTAGATAGGAGAAATCTCATCGTCCATTGTCCCGTAGCACAGCTAGAGGGCTGCGTCACAGGGTTTAGGCGCTCGTTGCTCGCCAAGCAAACGGGAAAGGCAGATTGATCCAGCGCGCAATCGCAAGCGTCGGGAGGGGGCGCAATGCTCGTTGCCGGCGGCATTCCAGGCCTCGATCGACAAATCCCATCGCCATTCATCGGTTTCTTGGGAGAAATATCGATCCAGGAGCTGCATCGTCTCTCTGGATCTGCTGTTCATCGTCTAGGTCTCTTCGGGCGAGGATTTCTCTGCGATTTCTCCCCTACGCTGTGGTTTGACCTCGAAATATTTGTCTATGTGGTACAGGAGGGCGCCTTGATCCATCCGGACGCCTCTCTCTGTCGCTGATGGAATAGTCGATTCGATACCAATCATCTATTGAGAAAGGGTTACTTTAGAACAGGAAGGTAGGCCTACAGGAATTTAGAACAGGGAAGGAAGTAGACAAGGAAAAAGAAGAAATGGGTAACCAGAGCAGCCGGTCACTCTCGCCAGGAGAAAGTTTGAGCAGCATAGATCTCAGCGAGTACGAGAGAGTATGTGCCAAGGATCCAGACGTGAGAAAATTTGGGGATGGGCTCAAGGAACGAACAGAGAGGGTGCTCCAGAGCATGGCGGCCGGGGTGGACGAGAGGGGACTTTCATTCCAGTCGTTAAAGGATGTGACCACCAGCTTTTTAGAGCTCGACCAGGAGGTTGTGAACGTAATTCTCAACTACAAGAAGGACGTGTGGGCAAGCGACTCGCTGTTTGAGCTGGTCAAGGACTACTTTGACAACAGCATGGCTACGCTAGACTTTTGCGAGGAGCTAAACAAGTGTATCAAACAGGCCAGGGAGAACCAGATGTCGATCCAGGTAGCGATCAACATGATGCCCAGCGAAGGAGATCCAAGCGAGGAGCAGTGCCAGGCAATTCTCAAAGAGCTCAACCAGTACGTGGACGCCGGCAACCCCTTCACGGACGAGTTCATGGAGAAGTTCCAGACCGTCTACCAGAAGCAGATGGAGCTGCAGAGAAAGCTTCAGGCGAAGAAGAAGTCGCTGGACAGGAAGCTGCGGTATGTCCGCGGCTGGACGAAGGTGTCGACGATCATCTACGCTGCGACTTGCGCGGCGCTGGTGATCTGTGCGGTGGTGGCGGCGGTGATGACAGTCCCAGCGATCGTAGGGGCGGTGGCAGCGGTATCGTCGATGCCACTCGAGACCCTGGGAAGATGGATCAAGTCCTTCCTCACCAAGTACGAGAAGGAGCTCCAGGCACGCCGGGATCTGATGAGAGAAGCGAACTTCAAGACTTTTGTGACGATCAAGGAGATGGACACGATACGAGCGCTCATCAACAGCCTCAGCAACTCCATGGAATCGATCGTCCACTGCATACAGTTTGGGCAGAGGCACGCGGACGGCTTTGGCATGCATCTGGTGGTGGAGCAGCTCAAGAGCCGGCAGAGCGCATTCATCCGGGATCTGGACGAACTGGAGGAGCACGTCGATCGCTGCAGCAGGGACATCCGGAGGGCCAGATTGGTGGTTCTTCGCCGGATCGTCAAGAAGAGATCCGTCAGAATTGGTTGTCAGCTCTTCTTTTGCTCGCCAGGATGATCGTTTGAAGTAGCTTCTCCATCCTCGTCATATTGGTCAACAGTTAGGTCAATAGTTTAAAATTTTCAATAGTTAGCCCTAACTCAATGAAAACGGTCAATTCTCATTATGGAAATTCAATGGTCAGTCGATTTAAAATGGGTCAAAGCCCATGCTAGGGCGAGGAGGATGGAGGAGGAGATGGAGCATCTCTGGCCACCGCCATTGCAGCACAGGCAACGCTGGTAACAAGGTGAGCACATCGATTCTCCTCTCGCGCCTCAAGGCGTGCACCAGCTCCGGCGACATCAAGGCTGGGCGGATCCTCCACGCCCGGGCCAAGAGCAGCGGCGACGATGCCAACATCCACGTCGCCACCGCGCTCGTCAATCTCTACTGCAAATCCGGCTGCCTGGCCGAGGCTCGATCGGTCTTTGAGGCAATGCCGGCCAAGAGCACCGTCGCCTCCACGGCGCTCATGCTGGGATACATCGAGGGCGACCAATCCGGCGTGGCAATGGAGCTCTTCTCGCGGATGATCATTGGCGGCTGCGATCCAGACGCGAGAGCTTTCGTGGCGGCGCTGAAGGCCTGCGCTGGATTCGCGAGCTCCTCCAAAGACAGCACGCTGGAGAGGGGATTAGAGATTCACTGGGAGGCTTCCAGGCGTGGCTACGCGGGGGATATCTTCGTCGCCAACACTGCTATGGATCTCTTCTCGCGCTGCGGTGGTATGGTGGAAGCCAAGAGAGTTTTCGATGGCATCGCGTCTTTGTCCAGGAATGTGGTCTCGTGGACGGTGCTTGTAGCTGGCTATGCCGAGAATGGATGCGGCGAGGCTGGACTGGAAGTCTTCTCGAGGATGATGAGCGATCCAGCGAGAATTCGTCCGGACGCACTTACTTTCGTGGCTGCTGTGAAGTGCGTGACGAGCATGGCAGTGGCACTCACGAAAAAAGCTTCCAGCTCCAAGAACTTCTCATCGAAGGTGTTGGTTTTGGAGAAGGGGATGGAAATCCACTTGATGGCTGCCAAGGCTGGAGTGGACTCACACTTGGTTCTTTCCAACTCGCTCGTGGATATGTATTCCAAGTGTGGGGATCTGGCTGGAGCTGTGCGCGTTTTCGAAAAGATGGCCGAGCACAGCGTGGTTTCCTGGACTTCTCTGGTGCTGGGATTCGTCGACAATGGCGAAGACGAGCTCGCGCTGGAACTATTCGACGCGATGACGCGGGTGGAAGGCTGTGTGCCCGACGCTCCTTCGATCGTTGCTGCTCTCAAAGCTTGCGCGAGTGCAGCGGCGAAAGAGGAAGGAAGAACTTTGCCGGGAGTGAAGGTGGTGGTGAAGCTCGAGGCTTTGGAGAGATCAATGGCGATTCATTCGCAGGCTGCTCGGTCGAGGAACCTGGATCGAGATGTCCGTGTTGGGAACATGCTGGTGGATCTGTATGCCAAGTGTGGCAGCGTTTTGGATTCCCGGAGAGTCTTCGACGTGGAGATGAGGCACAGGGACGTGGTTTCGTGGAACTCTTTGATGATGGGATACGCAGACTGTGGAGAGGGAGAGATGGCGCTGGAGCTCTTCTCGTGCTTGGACTCCCAGGGCTGCGAGCACGACGTCTTGAGCTTCGTGGCTGCTCTCAAGGCTTGCAGTAGCACCACAGCACTGGAATCCGCCAAGAAGATCCATGCCAGAGTTCTCAGCTGCGAGGAATCGATCGAGCCGAGCGACCTGTCCGTGGTCAAGAACTGCCTGCTGGATGTCTACGGAAAATGCGGGAGCATGGTCGACGCTCAGATCGTTTTTGATTCGCTGGAGACGAGAAGCTCGCTCAACTGGAGCTCGGTGGTGGCAGGATATGGCCGCAAGGGAGACACTCGCTGGGTTTTCGAGATGTTTGACAAGATGGTCGAGGAAGGCTGGGTTCCAGACAGAGTTTCGTGTCTTTCAGTGCTTACAGCGTGCAGTCACGCCGGATTGATCGACAGGGGGAAGAAGTTTTTCCAGAGAATGAGCTCGCAGTGGAGAGTAAGCTTGTCTCTAGAGCACTACCGCTGCGTGATTGATATGCTGGGGCGAGCGAACGAGCTCGAGCAAGCGGTGGCTATGGTGGAGGGGATGGAGTTTAGAGCCGATGCTTTGACGTGGAGAACAGTGCTGGGAGCTTGTTGGAAGTGGAAGAATGCTGTGGTGGGAAGAAGAGTGTTTGAGGAGCTTGTGAAGCTGGATAAAAGAGACTATGCTGCTTATGTTCTTATGGGAAATATTTATGGAAGCCTGGGAATGAGGGATGAGCAGGCATTAGTGGACAGGATGAAAACCTCTTAAAATGTCAAAAAGTACCATTCAGTTTAGGAATATGTTTAGAATGATACCCGGGCTCCAATTGCAGCTTGAACCCATAATTTGCAAGCTGGAGAATTATGAATAGATGATAAGAGTTGAGATGCTAAGGAGAAAATTGATGGAAGAAAAGATGAAAAAGGAGGAGGATAGGAATAAAGTGTGAAAAAAAACTATGAGGGAAAAACTGAAAAAAATGACAAAAGCTAAAGTAAAGAAGCGAGTTAAGGAAGAGAGAACAAAACTTGAAAACTGGTCTCAAAAACATATATAATATTGCATTGTAAGTTCAGGGTCGAGATGAGAAGAAGGAATATATTACCTGATCAGTAAGGAATCATTTTTCTCTCACTTTTCCAATCATCCATTTACATCCCAACTAAAAAGTTCTAAATGTAAGTGATGACGAGCAATGCCTGTTGCAGTCCAAGCAACATGATCTCGTGCTATACATGCTCATGAGAGAATTATAATGTTACTTGCAACACACATGAGCATGAGCAACGAACATGTGCTCAAGAAGTGTCATCTGCCAAGAAAACAAGAGCTTGCACGATTGATGAGCGAGTTCGCAACTGTGATGCAATCTCTAGCACCACAAATCCTTGGGAGACGGCCTTGGAAGACATTCCTTGATTACGTGATCTCATCGGGTAACACTCCCTGCTCGACCATTCTCCAAAGTCATCCTAACGATGCGCCAATCTAGGCATATGGAGTGATTGCAGGAGTTCAAGACACATGATCGCCACTCATGAACGCCAGGGTGGTGTCGACCAGGCTGAGCAACCCCGAGCTTCTCGCGACACGACACGACGGTCTCCACAATAACAAACCAGCAACGTCTTACGTTCCAGCGCTCTGGAAGTGGATCGAGATGCCGAACGAAGTCTGGAAAGCGGCAGAAGAATCCTTCCTAGCATCACTTGTAGCAGCTCCATAGATTTGCTTCAGCTGCTCGAGCATATTGTTGCACAACCGGCGGCTTCGACTTGAAAGTTTCCAGGCACCCCGTCAATGTTCTCGAGCGACAGGAGTGGCTTGATATCACTCAAGTGCTCGTGAAGAAACCCGAGCTGCATAGTTTTCTCCCTCTCCTTCTCGTCGATCTTCTAGGGAAGCTCCAACTTCACGTAATACTCCACCCCGGGTACCACAACCTTGGCTAACACGTCCTCCGTCATGATCTTCCACACACCATAGCTGGGAAGAATGTAAGCGATGATCGTGTCCGGCGGTACATGGCCATCACGCTCCTTGATCTTTGTCTGTCTAGTCCTCGTCTTTCCTTTTATTTCTTCCAGTTGCCACTCTAAAGGGACTCCAAGGGCTCATGAAGCTAGATGGTCTTCCAAACAATGAAGTGAAATGAAACGGAGGAGTTTCGTCTAGAATCGATTCGATCCAGGAGATTTGGATCACGAAGAGCCCAGATCCAAGGTTTCGTGAAACTCCTATCTTGTATGGTTCCATGGTTGTATGGTTGTTTATTCGATTTGATAATGTGTGTAGAGAATTCTAGAGATGTGATGTTATAACACACACACAAATTTCCAGCCGTTGCTATATTCTTTTTTCCTTATTTTTTGTGTGGTGGCGTGAGAGGGTGAAGCCAAGGTCGCGGGTACGATCCTCTTGTCTGACACTCGCCCTAAGTTCTTCCATTCTTTCTTCTTCTCTCTCCAGGCGGCAGGGCTCCTTCCCCCGGGATCGTGGATGCGGCTGCTCCAGCAGTGAGATTCTCGGATTGTTGCCGCGGCGCATCGCCTCCACCCCCTGGCGGGATGTGAGAATTTTTCTCGCTTCTCGATCGATCGACAGGAATGCCGCTCCGCACGAATGAGGCTGGGAAATGTGGCTACTGCTTGTAGCAGTCGGCTCCGGATGTCTCGCGAGGCGCTGGCGCCATGGATCATCGCAGCGGTGGGGGCGGCAGCTGGAGCAAGACGAGAAGCATCACGAGCAGGAAGACGAAGATGGATGCCCTAGCGAGGAGCAGCAGGTATTTGATCTCGGTTCCTCGCCGGGACAGGACGCCGGCGATGGCGGCGCAATCGCAATGGTAGAATTCGAGGAGGAGATGCTCAAGAAGAAGGAGAAGAATGCTTTGCAGCAGATGGATCCAGTGGCAGTGGCGAGGAGGATATCGACCAAGAAGCTGTTTGATGGGGAGGAAGATCACGGTCACACTAGTCCCAAGCCGCCCGGGACGACCAAGATGATGACCACTACTGTTACTACTGCATCCAGTGATCCTCCACAAGCTGCTACAGAGACTTCTAGAACCCAACTGGAGATCGAGAGCGCTAGCGCGGTGCCTGTAGTGGCTGCCGGGAAGAGGGCGATCGAGTTTAGCAAGCACGCAATGCATGAAGGTGATCTAGCAGGAATCGAGGTGAAGAGAAAGAGAGATTCTAGCGAGCTTGTAGCGGGGCAGTCGCAAGAGCAGGGACTTCTCAGCTCGTTTACGTGCAGCTTCATGGACAATCCCGGGTTGACGGATCTCTGGTTTGCTCCACGAGAAGGAGACGCTGCCAGGATTCGGAAGTTCAAGACTCCGAGCCGGCAGAGGTCGAGGGGACTGGGACGCAGGGCGAGGTACTTGCGTGCGTCGCCAAAGCCGGTTTCTTCGATGGAGAGTTGCTTGAGCGCGCAGCTACATTTCGACGAGGACAAGCGAGTCTCTCGCTCTTTGTTTTTCCAGCCGTTTCAGGAAGGGAGAACTCCTGGCCTTGGCGAAGTTGAAGTGTTGGGAACAGGGACCGGCTCTGGGCTTCGTAGAAACTCTATGCATTTTCCACCATTTTCGAGACCGTTTGCACGGAAGAATTTAAAAAAGCACTTCAAAGCTGGAGGTAAGTTTCTGTTCTTCGCTTCTTTTTCTTTCACTGTTACTTACTTTTGCGAGGTGATTTATTTCTTCTTCTTTGCAGATGATCCTCCACAAGAAGCTCTGCTGTTCAGTTTCGGGGTTGGCATTGGTGTGATGCACATGGTCACGACGAACAACGCTGAAATTGAGAGGCTGCAAAAATGCTTGGCAGAGGCTGAGAATTTAGTCCAGGTGTTGCAGCGAGCAGCAGACCGCGGTGCGGTCGAACGTTCTACCGGCCTAGACTCTGCTGGGAGTAATCTGACGACGGAACAGCAGGGAAACATGGCCGAGTTGGAAGCGCAACTTGAAGCTGAATTGGAGTTGATGCAGCTTAACTCGAACGACTCGACCGAGGAGGAAAGCCATTTTTATTTTGTTTGTTTTCGTTTTTGTACTGAAATTTTTCTGTGCGTATGTCTGCAGCTGGATGCCGAAGTGGTACATAGCGAACTGAACGCCAGTGGTTTGCCTGGAGTTTCAGACTTTGACGAGGACGATAAGAATCACTCCCATGGTGAGGGGAACACCACAAACTGGGCGGTTTCTCCGAGAGAGCTTGATCGAAGGCTCAGAATGCTCATCGAAACCAGGCAAGAGGAGCGCATTGCCCAGCTAGAAGAAGACCTCCAACATTCTGAAAACCAGCTTCACGACACAGAGATGGAGCTTCAAATGTGGAAAGACCGTGTTTTTCGCTTGACAGGGATGACTTTGTCGATCTCAGGTATGGCTCTTCGCCTTCTATTTACTCCCTAAGCTTTTGTCTACTGCAGGGAACAAGGAAGAAAATTCATTCGATCGCTGCAAGCCCGGAGAGCAGAGCCCCTCGGAAGGCATCTGTGACGAGTTCCTCAAGTCTGTATTTCTTAGCCGCCAAAACTCGGTCAGGGATCTGGCTGGTGCTTCGAGCTGCAGCATTTCCGAGTGTGGAGAAAGCTGGCAACGGCAAGCTTCCGGCACCACCCCGGAGAATTACCTCAGTGGAGGAGCAGGCATGGACAATGAGCCGGGAGGCTTCCAGCACAATCGGAACAGCAGCACCGACTTGGAGCAGGAGAGAAAAACCACGCCACCATGGAGCTACAGCAGTGTTTTCGCGGTCAGCCACGCGGGTTCTACCACTCCGATCCAAGACGTGCGCTCCAGCAAGCTCTTCAACACACCCCGGGCTCTCAGATTGCGAAACGGTGCGCTGGTGCTGGACAAGATACGGTACTGGGATAATCTCGCCAGGGGCAGCGTCAAGTCGGAGGCTCACACACCTCCACCAGAGGAAGAAAACGCGACGCAGGGGAACGATCAGAGTTCTCCTCCGGTGCGATTCAGCTGCTCCGATGGCTCCTCCCGCGACGATAGCTCGGCGTCCGATACGGAAGAAGGCGGGCAGGGTCACGTTTTGATCAAGAGGATCGTCGAGAAGTCGAGGAAAGGATCGACGCTGCTCAAAGACGTGGAGAGAATGCTGGCTGCGCTAGATAGTGAGTGACCACCGTCTTTAATTTTTTTTTTTCGGTTTTTTTTTTCCGTTCTAAGCTCTTCCCTGTACATCAAAGTTTACGCAAGTTTTGTAAAGCCCACAAAGAAGAAAGAAGAAGAAGAAAGGTTTCTTTGACACCTCTTAAGCTTGATCTTGCGTTTCTAGAAAATAACTTCGGGTGAATCGGCCAGAAAACCGTCCACCAGCATCTTAACATCGTCGTCAACCTTTCGCTTCTTCTTGTCGACTCTAACTTTCTTCTCGCGCGCGCGCTCTCTCGCGTTGATCTTGAAAGCTCCAAACTGGGGGTGATCGCTGAGAACATACTCCACCAGCGAGAAGCTCAAATCGCTGCTGTGCTGCTCGGTAGCGATGTAAGACAAGTTGCGCTTCTCCACTTTGAGGCCGCGGAGGACGAAGCTTTCCTGCTTGCCTTGCTGCTTCCAGTGGCAGCCCTCGATCGTGGTGTTGTCTCGCTGGGATGATCGCTTCCATTTCAATGGCGCGATCAAGGTGATCGTGCTGGAGCCTGTGGCAACCGATCAATCGCTAGACAATGAGAGGCGGGAAGAAATACCTGGAGTGATCACATTCCAGGGGTGTTTGCTGAAAAAGTTTGTATCCGGTATGATCTCGTTGATCCTCTGGTTAGAAATCCAGTCCTCCAAGCACTCAACGATTCGATCCGCGCTCAGTACATCGGGACGTCTCTGATCACAAACCCAAAAGAAAACAAGAGTGGAGCTTTCACTTTCCAGCCGAAATCCAGAGAGCACGAACCTTTCCTTGCGAGCGCGAGAGTTTTGCGTGAGACCATCCACAGAAATCGTGGACCCGTATGCCGCCCGACGCTGTTGTCTCCACACACACCGGGAGATCGCATCCCGGAAGCTCGCATTTCCTGGCGACGATGCTCTGCGTCTGATCGAGGCACTCCAAGGCGTGGCGCTTGCAGCAGAAGTCGTGATCGCCGCTCCACACTGGATGGTTGCAAGACGAGAGCTGGCAGCGGCCATCGAGCTTTGGCGGATTGAGCAGCAGTCCATTGTTGCGACGCACCATCTCCATCAGGTGATGGGTTCTTCCGCAGCATTCGTGCTGCTTGCCACTGCTCTCTTGAAAGAATGCGAGCTTCGTGCAGCCCGGAAGAGCACACAGCATCGCTGCTCCGCTCGCTGCCATAGAGGAGTGGAAGAAATGCTTCTCTCCTCTCAGCTTTACTAAAAATCTATGGCCTTAATGGATTTTGTTGGATATCGTACCTTTCTAATCTTTAGATTAGCCATAGACAAAGGTTTGCAGTACGAATCTTTTCTAGATCCAACGTTTCCATGGTCTGGACTTTGTGTACGTAAATCAATCGGCTTAGGTTTGTAGATCACTACTTTGATTTGATTAAGTCATCTTTATACTACCACAAAATTTTATTCTAACATTGGTGATAGAGTTTTATCAAATTTACCCTTGGAAGTGGATGTTTGAGAGAAGAACATAAGAGCTAGGGCAAGAGGGTTCTAATTGTAAAGCTCTCTGTGCAGCACTACTTCCCTGTTCTAGATCACTACTTGTGTGACACGCACCAAGAACAGAGGTCCAGGCCATACAATCTGCTTGGTAAGGCATAGCCGCAATCACATCCCTCGCATCTCTCAGCCTCCCTGCCCTCCCCAATGCATCGATCAGGCACCGGTAGTGATTGGCACTTCTCTCCAACCCGAAGTCCATGGAGATGGAAGCGAATTTGGTGATGGCGTCGGGCATGAATCCGCCATGGCCGCACGCAGACAGCACGCTCACGAAGCTGATCTCGTCCAGCTCGAATCCCCTGAGATTCATCGCCGGGAAGAGATCCAGGGCGAGATTGTTTTGGCCACCGCGGGTGTAGATGGCAATCATCGCGTTCCAGGATTCGGTGCTAGGATCTGGCAACCGATCGAAGAGGCTCTTGGCCTCTGTCAATCTCCCGCATTTGCCATAGAGATTGAGAAGCGCGTTGCTTAAGACTTGGTCGGATTGGTACCCGAGGTGGATGATCTCCTGGTGTAGGAGCTTTCCTCGTGCTAGATCGCTCCCATCGGCACAGGCATCCACTACTGCGATGAAGCTCACGGCGTCAGGATGGATTCCTTCCAGATCCATGGCGCTGAAGAGCTGTATTGCCTCGAGAGATTGTTGGCTCTTGGAGTACGCGACGAGCATTGCAGTCCACGAGACGATATTTCGATCGGGCATGGCGTCGAAGAGACTCTTTGCCTGCTCAAATTGCCCACTCTCGGCATACGCTGCTAGCATCGCTGTGGACGAGATCACATTAAGCTCGGGCATCTGATCATGCAAAGCTCTAGCACGATCAATCTCCCCGGCTTCTAAGAACCCTAACAAGAGTGCCGTCCAGGAAAGAGCATTGCGCTCAGGCATGGAATGAAACACTGACATGGCTAGCGGCAATTGGCCGTTCTGGGCATATGCTGCCACCATGGCAGTCCACGTCACGAGGTTCCTCTCCGGGATGGCATCAAAGAGCCGTTGGGCCTCTGCCAGCTCGGAACAGTCGGCGTACGCAACGATAATGGTCGTCCACGTCACCACGTTCCGTGCTGGCATTTCCTCGAACGTCGATCTCGCCCGAGCGAGATCTCCACCGTTGGCAAACGCGGCCATGAGCGTCGTCCACGACACGACGTTGTGCTCGGGCATCTCCTGGAAGAGGCGCTGGGCGGGATGCAAATGCCCGGCCTGGGAATATGCGGCGAGCATTGCGTTCCAGGATACCAGGTCCCTCTCGGGCATATTCTCGAAGATGCCGCTGGCTTCGTGGAGCTGGCCATTGGCGACGCACGCCTGGAAGAGGATGTTCCAGGAGAAGCGATTAGGGATTGGGATGGCGGCGAAGGCGCGGCGCGCGTCGTCTAGGCGGCCGCAGCGGCCATACATCTCGATGACGAGATTGTGAAGGTAGATGCTCGGTAATCCGCGAACGCTGTCGTGAATCTGCCGTGCCGTGACGATGTCATCGCAGGATTTGATCGATCTGGCCCAGGCGGCGTCGGGAGATTGCTCCATCGCAGCCGCATTGGGAAATATTTCGGTGGGAGAGGCTCGCGATTCCGTGGCGGGGACGAAGGCGCCTGGCAAGAAATGCGGCATTTCGACGCCTCCACCGGCATTTGCAGGTAAGATGTGGATGCCTGATCGATAATCAATCGCGATTTCTTCGCATGATTTCTTTGCTTTCTTGAGTGATGGCCTCTTTCTTCTCTACACATTGCTTAGGTGTTCTTCCTGGTTTTTCTCTCGCCCATTCGCTGGCTGTCTTGTTCCACACGCTCTAGCGTGGCGGCGAGATTACGCTAAGAAATCTGGTGCCAAAGGTTTTAGGGCTTTAGTGCTCTCGTGCACGCTCTTCCTCTTTGGGTTGCTGACGCGATCTGTCTGTAGGGACATCCTAGATTCTCGCGCAGGACAAGTGATTATCTCCAAGGAGCAGCAACAAGTAGCACCGATGAGCGCATCATTAAAACCAAGTAAGCTGCTTCATCTTTGGCTTGAGAGCTCACGAGAGAGGCTATGTAAGCACTGAGCTATGGCTGCATTCCTTGCTTCTACGAGATTCTCATGGGTGTATGCCTTGTTTCAGCTCATGTATGGTCAGCCGTGTCGAGATGGCTCCGGTGGCAAGGCGGGGATGACAATGTAGCCGAGACGTCCGTGGTGCTGGATGTGGAGCAAGAGTACCAGAGGGCGATCAGGACGGACTCGTATGTGGAGTTTGCGGAGAGGGTGGCCGTGGCTCGACTAAACAGGGAGACTGGAACTAGTGCTCAGGGGTCCGTCTCGCCAATGCCGAGATCGTTCGAGCGGCTTGCTGCCACCTTACTGGAGCCCGAGGAGGATAAGATCCTTGCGCTTCTCACCACGAACAAGGAGCTGGGGAAGATACCCGAGATCCACCAGCTGGTTTCCGAGTACCTGGAGGAGAGCCGGAAGTCGTCCGCGCTCTGGGCTTCGCTCCTCAAGAGCATCCAAAGCTCCCGGGACAGGTGCCAGGAGATTGGGGGCATCCTCAAGAGCCAGACAAGCGACCAAGAGATCTTACGCGAGCTTTGCTCCATCGACGAGGGTGAGAATCTCTTCTCGGTAGCGGTGGTGCAGCAGTTCCAGCCGCTCCACGACCATTGCCTCGGCATGCAGAAGAAGCTGGACAAGATCCGGAAGAAAGTCGGGAAGAAGCTCCGGCTCACAAGGGCGTGCCTCAAGGTCTCGACGGTGATCTTGTCCATTGGTTGCTTCATCGTGCTCCTGGTGACGACGCTTGCGCTGTTCCTGGCGGTGGCGGCGCTTGTCGTCGGCTGCAAAGTCTTCACGTTCCCTATCGGCTACGTGGTCCGGCGCCTCAATCTCCGCAAGAGGAAGAAGCTCAACGCTCTCGAGAGGCAGTGGAGGCAAGTGGAAGCCGTGAGCCAGGGGACTTTCGTGGTGGTCCAGGATCTAGACACGACGAGGAGGCTGGTGATGAGGCTGGGCAGCGAGATCGACTTCACCAACAAGGCGGTGGCGTTCTCGATCCGGTACCGCGAAGATCGATCGATGCTCAGCCAGTCGCTGGAGCGATTGAGGCGGAACCAAATGATTCTAAGCCAGCTCTTGGACGATCTCGAGGTGAACATCTACCTCTCCTTCATGAGCATCAACAACACTCGCCGAGAAGTTTGCAGGCAGTGAAAAAACAAACACTCGCAACACTCGGACCGAGAATATTCTACAGGACCCGAATACTTGGCTACTGGTCAGCGGTGCCGTACTTTTGACCATGTCGTACGGCCGCGTGCGTTTAGAAAATTTTCCAGAATATGCAGTCCACGAATCCAGCTGTATCTCGGGGAGTGGCACGTGTCAGGCAATCGTTTGCTCCGTAACACCGGTAACTAATACTGGTTAAAGTTTTGGCGAGCCGTGGTGGCCGTTTGAAGGCCCAAACCTCGCGTCGCGCGGTTTGCGCCCCGCGCGATTTGGTGGGCTGCGGCCTCTTCATTCTATTCATTCTCTTGTTCATTCCACTCTCTCTCTTTTTCTCCCCATTTCTTTCTTGATCCACCGCCGGGGTTTTCGATCGATCGCCAAGAAGCGCTGCGGAGACGCGCATTGCGACCCTCGGCGGTAAGATTTGTGGCCGATGCGTTTTGTTGCGAGGCAAGAATCTTGCTTCCCTAGCTCGTCTTCCGTCCATGGGCCAGATGAGAAGATTCGAGCTCCAAAAGCCGGAGAAATGCTGTGAGGTGGCTCGGATTTCGGGATCTTTCTTCGAGAATGCAGGTCGAGGGGATGGATTGGCCCTAGGAAGTGGGAGTGCTTTCACGTAGCATAGAATTTCTAGAAAGGGAGCTGTACATACTAGTCTAGATTAGCATCCCAGTCTTTAGCACTCGAATGCTTTGGCGATGGCTCGCAGCGATCCGGATTGGGCTTCGTGGCACGATGATTCCTTTAAGCTGGATGCCGATTCTCCATTGGGTATAGCATTTGAGTTACATTTCATTTTCACGTGAGAGCTGACGACTTTACTTCTTTTTTTTTTTTTATAGCTATTTCTCGATCACTCTGGGATGAGCTCTCGCAGAGTGAGGCGGATTCGCGAACTTTGTTCGCCTCGACGCCTGCGGCGGACATTACTGAGCCATTTCTATCATCTTTGTCTCATCCAGGTGCGAAGTTTATCCTTTTGGCTTCTTTCTCAAGTCGTATCTTTGATGCACAGGCGGCTCTCAAAACCACTGTGATGAGCAAGATAGCCCTCGCCAGAAGAGGAGACGAATGCTTTTCTTCTCTGGACTACAACCGCAGGAGGGCTCATCAATCCAAGACTACGAGGTACAATTCAAAGCGACCTTTAGTCAGCTAAAGTTTTAATGTTCTGTAGATCCCAGAGCGTGCTCAAGAAAACCCGTCTTGGTGCCAAGGTACGGTTTGCAAGGTCAGTTAACTTCTTGGTAATTTTGCCATGCAGAGGATTCTCTCGAAGATAACCTGGAGCAGCCGAGTGATTGCTGGATGGAAACTTGCTTTAATGACTCTGATGAACACAATATGGAAGTTGTCCCTTGCAAAAAAATCCAGGTGCCTTTGTGCCATACTGCCAGTGAGATCCCAAGTACCGATATTTCTGCTTTCTGCCTTCTTTGTCACTTTCTTTTCTAAGCTGTTTGTCTATGTCAGGTAATTTACAGGATAACTCCAACAGAGGCCCCGAGACACCAATCTCGGGTAGAGGTGAGAGGCTTTTTAATATGTTGTCCCGGATTTTCTAACATGTTCTACATACTTTACAGGTAGAAAGAAACATCGTGTGCAGGGTCGGCAGAAGCTGACGAGCCCCGTCGCGTATCCATTCGCTCTACTGAAACCGTGTGGCGCGACTGGCGATATAACGTTGAGCGATTTAAACGAGAGAATTCAGACCCCGAGAGCGAAACCCATCGTGAGGCGGTTAAGTGGCGAGCTCGGTGATTCGGAGTCCTCTCAGAGCCTGGGAGCAGGACTATCTGGAAAATCCGTCGTAGCTCTGACTAAGATCCATACCGAAGGGAACGGTTCAATTACGATAATGGGAACTAAAGGATGACTTCGTGACTCATCGTTAAGACTTAAACGACTTAAACTCATCGTTAACGTTTTATTTCAGATCAGCGAGAAAACGTCGAGATCTGGCGCTCATGCATGCATGCAGCGTAAGTTGTCTTAAGTCCCTGTTAGCGTGTATAAATATCGTGTTGGTTGCTGCAGGTTGCAATCACGAGCTCCTCTTATCGGCTTTTCTGTCGACTGTGTAAGTTGTGTTGTAACTTTCTTCGCTTTGCTGACAAGTGATGCTTTTGCAGGAAGCGAAGAGAAAAAATGGCAGCAGCAAATATGGTGCTGTGGATGGTGCTGGGATTGCTGGTGAGTTCCTGTCACGCAGACGGTAAAGACTATCCTCCAAAGCCTTACAAAGAAGAGTGTCCGCCACCGCCTTACTCTTATCCCGAAGAATGTCCGCCACCGCCTTATTATCCCGAAGAATGCCCGCCACCTCCTGAAGAATGCCCTCCTCCTACGCCTCCTACTGAAGAATGCCCGCCTCCGCCACCTGCTGACAATGTCGACTGTTCCAAGTGTACGTGTATCTGTGGAGCCTGTCCAAAGTGTGAAGCTTACCCGCCTCCGAAATGCCCCGAAGTTCATTGTCCCGATGTCAAGTGTCCTAAGTGCGACTGTCCCGACTGCCCGAAGTGTCCTCCCGAGAAGGTGTGTCCTCCCGAGAAGGTTTGTCCTCCCGAGAAAGTTTGTCCTCCCGAGAAAGTGTGTCCTCCTCCAAAGGAGTGCAAGCCTTGCAAGGAGTGTTCCCCTCCAAAGAACTATCCTCCTCAAAAGTGTCCCAAGTGTGATGCTTGCGACAAACCATACAAGCCATGGCCGGAAGCTGCGGAGACTTTTGCTCCTGAGGATGTCTCGCTGATAAATGGACTCCTGTCGGTGGAGTATGCTCTGAATGGTTACTACAAGAACGCGGCCTCTAGCAGCTTCAAGGACGTGACCGTGAAGAGGCTGGTTGGCGATTACAAGGCTCAGACCAACAGCCACATCAAGTAACTCCTCTCAACTCTTTTCCTTCCATATGTTGACCCCTTGTGCTTGTGTAGAGCTTTGAGCGGGCTGCTCAACGAACAGGCAACGAACGAGCCACAGATGAATCTTAACACCACCGTCTTCTCAAAGATGATGACTTCGGCCACCGGCAAGCAGAGGACGTTTGATGCTTACTCATCCGGGACGAACTCTTTGTTGGCGGCGTCTACTCTCGTTCCTCTGGCGTCTGGCGTCTCTACTTCCATGCTTGCCCAACTCCAAGGCCAAGCTGCCAAGAGCGTATGTTTGATCTCTCTCCTTTTCCTCTTCGTCTTGATAATCTGTTTTGCTGCAGCTGGTGGCTGGGGTCTCGAGCTCTCTGGCCGGGCAGACGGGTGCTGTCAATGCGATGCTCCTCCAGCGAGCTAGCGGCAGTGTTGCCAAAGGCCTGACCGTGGGAGAAGCGTCGCAAAACTTATCAGCGTTTGAGCAGTCACTCCAGGCGACGCCATCGTCGTCCTCGAGCAGCAGCAACACAACAGTTGAGGTCTCGGCCGCGCAGTTCTCGGGCGCTGCTCTAACTCTTGACGCAACGCAAGCTCTGGCCGTGCTCAAGCAAATGGGAATTCTCACGTAATCAACCAACAATTGGAGAGCCTTCCATCTCTTGGGACGTGTTCTCCCGAGAGAATAAAACTAAGTTACGCTGACGTAACGACTAATAAGAAATCAAAGCTCACACACTACTGTTTTCTTCTTTGCGCCATCTTTTGATACTACTACCAATGAATTGTTCTTTCTCGAATGACCACGTTTTTAGCTGATCAAATTCTAACATGGCCAAGTTTTTGTCTAGAATCGCTTGACTTGGGCTTCGACCATTTTAAAATATTTCCATCAGCGCGAGCGCTCATTGCTCAAGATGTTCTGTTTATTTCTTCCTTTTTCTTTTCTTCTGGTCCGGTTAGCAGGCCACCTCGAATAAATAAATGTCAAAACTTGGGATGAATGGTACACAAAACTTTTAGTCTTGCGATCAGGCGGGCAAGTGGAGCTTGACGTTGTTCTTCCAGCTACAAGCAAAACAAAAGAACGTACATATGGTGAATGAGCATAGAAACAAAAGCACTAGTTCACTCTGTCACAGACCTGTGAATATAGTAGTAGAAGAAATCAGCATAAAGAGCTGTTTGTACTGCCCCGGAGATCCAAGCTGAGAATTGTGCCACAAGAAAATCAGACCTTCACCACAAAACGCTAGAACTTTAAAAAAGAAAACTCACGTATCCACTGCACGTAGTGCTTCTCTGTCATGTACCGGTAAGCCCAGTTGACGATATACAGCGCCCTGTAAGCTCTGCGAGAGAGAAAAATCGAGTTTTTAACACACCACAAAGCACAAATTTCATACCCCAATAGAAAAACGTAGTTTCCCGTCAGATTGTCGATGTTCCTCGTCCTCTGGAGTAGAACCAGCTGCGGGAAGATGGCCACGGCCTCCAAGTAAATCGAGAAAGTCCAGGCAACCTGGAACGAAAGAGAGAGAGAGAGAAAGAGTAAAGCTTTGGTGTGATGGACGAGAGCCAAAGCAAAGATTGTGTGGAAGAAAATGTACCTCGAGAAACGTAAACTTCTTGTGGATCACGAGCGCCAGGAGCAAGCACGGAAGCACAAGGAAGTAGTGCCGGAACGTGTCTTGCTCCTTGTCATACGTTCGGCGCACCAGTTTGTGGCGCCGCATGTACCACACGATGGTCATCGACGTGGAAAGGAAGATGATCTTCATGACGAAGTTGTAGAGCGAGACAAAGTCTGTGAACAAATCGAGGTAGCGCGCCACGAAAACCAGCGCGTAGAGCTCCTGCGTCTTGAGCGAGATCCCTGCGTTTAGAAGTTTTGAGAAGAATCGCCTCTTTGATCGATGCCATACCATACCTGCGCAATTCTTGATGGTGTGGATTTTGAGCAGCAGCACCACAATGCTGAGGAGATGCGTCATGTCCCCTGCTAAGCGGAAGAGATTCATCGTGTCGCGCTCCTCCTCCAAAAGCTATGGATCAAAGATCTGCGCGCCTAGAAATCCCACATTTCACCCTATTTGCGCCAAATTCCGCGCTCCCCCTGGCTGTAGAGCTCGCCAGCGCTGTGAATCTACCGAGATTTCGACTAGATCTGCAAGATCGCCTACCCAAGCCCAAAAGCCCTAGCCCAGATCTAGCCAACGTCTGGAATTAAAAGCTCCGTGAGCCGTCGATCTTCATTCCGGATCCAACGGCTGGCGCGGCGGATTAAACCCTCAACTACGTCGAATGTATAAAAGAAAAACTATTTGATTCTAAGAGAAGAGGGCACGCACACAGAGGACACTGGAAAATGGAGAGGGGGAGCTGTGACGAAGACGCTCTAGGTTTCCAAGCTATGCGCAGCGGCGAGATGGAAGAACCCTAGGCGCGGCGGTGGAGCAACGGCGACGCGAGGTAGGAGATAGGAATCCATCGCTCGGTCGCTGCAGCGTGTGTGCCGAAATCTTTGGATTCTTGCGTCCTAGCGCTGCATTTCGCTTTCTTGCGATCATTCATCGCCTCGATGATCCAATGGAGGATGAAATATGGCCTGTGTGGTTGCAGAGATTGGACGACCATGTCGGGCGCCTTCTCTTCGCTCAAATATAAGAATGTCAAGCACTGCAGTACGCATCCCAAGTTCCTCCACAGCAACAGTACGAGCCATCGCTGGGCTTTTGGCGCTATTGCCGAGTAAGCTTGCTGGTACGAGTGCTCACTCACTCTTCTTCTCTTGTTTTTTCTAGGCTTATTGACAATGCCATCGATCCCGATGTGAATGCGTCGCAATTTTGCATTGACCTCAAGGAGTTTAACAACGAGCCTTGCCTCGTTCTCATGGACAATGGCTGCGGTCTGAATCCAGAGAGACTGCATAAAATGCTCAGTTTTGGGCATTCGAAAAAGGTAAGGAGATGTTTTTCTTCAAGTCTCCTCTTTACGCTGTTTGCCCGAATGCAGCAAATGACTCCTGGTGATAGATCGATCGGGAAGCATGGAAATGGTTTCAAGGTTGGACCTTTTTTCATCTGCGCCTTACTCTTAGCTTGCTTATATTGTTTGCTTCAGTCGGGAACAATGCGCTTAGGAAAGGACGTACTAGTTCTTACAAAGTGTGCTGTCAGTATGACTACTGGCTTCCTTTCTCAGACTTTTCTGGTAAGTGTGATTTATGATGGCCAAGTCTCATTAGAAAAATCCTGTATGAAAATCAGGCTGCTGTGGGAGCAGAAGACATCCTCATACCGCTAGTTACCTGGGATTTGCGTGGAAGTATCCTTTCCAGCTGCTTGAACATAGCGTGCCATTCTTTTCCTTGACTGCAGGGAAGATAGAATGAGTCCAAAGCATGCGGACATCGAAGAAAGCTTGCAAGCTATATGTACATACTCCATTTTTCCTGACGAAGCAAGCATTCTTGCTCAGCTTGATGCGATTCCTGGAACAGGCACGGTAAGCTTGACAAAAGCTGTCTAGAAATATCATGTTTTCTTGCTAAACATTTGGTAAATCTTTTTCCTCTCTAGATCCTGATCATTTCAAATTTACGCCGCCATGAAGGAATCCTTGAAATGGACTACAAAACAGATCCTCACGACATAAGAATAACATCAGAAATTACCAGTTCCCATTATCAGCAACTGCGACCCAATCAGGTGATTGACTTGTGAGGTTCTGAAAAAGCTAAAGTTGTCTCATTCCTCCTGCAGCCTAATTCCACTGACGTTCCTAGTGACTACTCTCTTCGGGCCTATGTTTCAATACTTTATAAAGTTCCTCGTATGCAGATATTTATTCGGTAAGCCATCTGATGTCACAGCGTACAAAGTTAAGACGTAAAATGCTGCAGTGACAACAAGGTGAAGACGAAGAGGGTCTCTGGACTTTTAAGTCAGAAGGTGACCGAAACTTATAAGCCAATGGGAGTTACTGATCCCGTGAAAATTGAAATGGGGTGAGTCATCATACTGTATTCTTTTAAGTTGAGCTGACGTATCCTCGTGGTTGTAGTTTCAACACCGAAAACAGAAACCTGTATGGCATGATGCTTTATCACAGAAATCGTTTAATTAAACCTTATATGAGGGTAAAATTGTGTATAAGAAGAGTCCATGTAACACACTATTCCCGTTTTTCAGGTTGGTATGCAGCTTGAAGAAAATGAAAGGGGAATGGGTGTCCTGGGCATAGTTGAAGCGGATTTCTTGCACCCAACTCATAATAAGCAGGTTAGAAGCTTTTATTCCGTCAACTGTAACATAATTGCCTGTTTTGTGAAGGACTTCGACGACACAACTGCATACCGTAGGCTGCTGAAGAAGCTTTCGGATGTTTTGGCTGAGTACTGGTATGTTGTGTTTATTTTTCCTTCGATTAATAATTTTTTGTTGCAGGTGGGAAAAGAAGGAAAGGATCAGTTTAAGCTTACCTCAACCTGAAACTCCTACGAAGCGACCTGCGGAACCAGAAAGTGTCGATGAGGATGTTCCAGATGTCGTATGGGTAATAAGCCTTTTGGTGCATTTTCGTTGTTTTTATTCTATTGTCATAGGTGCAATGCGATAATCCTAGCTGTCTCAAATGGCGTGTGCTGCCTGAGGGGACCGATGCTGCTACTCTTCCTGATAGCTGGTAAGGTTATATATTATCCGCGAAATCCTATCCGATTATATATTTTTGTGACAGGTTTTGCGAATACCATCCTATTGCAAAGTTTCGCAGGCACGAAGAACCAGAAGAAGAATGGGACGCGTCTGTTCAACATGAGGTATCTTTCCTTTCTTTTTCGGCATTAATATAAGCTTGTTTTCTAGATTATTGAAAGAAGAAAAGAACGGAAACGGGAATACGACCGCGAGAGGAAAGAAAAAGAAGCTCATAAGCGTCGACAACGGCTGGTATTTATAGCTTATCAAGCGGCTCACGTATTAAATATGATCATTGCCAGGAAGTTATTGTGGGGAGGGAGGAGCAAATGGCAATACACCGCCAGCGGGAAGCTCTCAGGAAGGAGATGGAAGAACAAAAGGCAAAAGATTTTGAAGCCATTGAGCAGGTATTTGTCATGCGTTGTTTGAAACTAGGCTGAGAGTTCGACTTCCTGCAGGAACGTAAGGCCCGGGAGGAGGAAGTCTTAAAGCTTCAAAAGGTATATTTTTATAGTAGCGAAACTGTTCTCATTGCATGTCTACATCACAGGAACTCCATGAAATGCAAGCTAGGCGTGATGAGATTCAAAAGCAGCACATCGAGCTTCTGCATCGTTTGGAAGTTGACGGAGCGAAAAAAAGCACAGCTCCTGTCAAGAAGGATGAGAACCATGTGCAGTTCTCGGAGCACGTGAGTATTTTAATTGGATTTTTGTATCCTGTTTTACGGTTCATACTCGTGATTGCAGGAAATGTCCCAAGTAGGAGTTTCGGGCTCCGAGGATATATCAGAAGAAAGGCCTGTCGACTCCCGCAAAACCGATGAGGCTTGCTCGGGTCAGCAAAATGATGGACGGACTCAATGGAAGGGGAACGAATTGCCCAGCGATGGCACTCAACAGTTGCCCGATCAGGTGAACAAAGACTATCCGCAAGGGAATCATCAACACTATGAGCACCGCCAGGAGACACGCCTTCTCACACCAAGTTTGGATGGTGAACCGTATCAGCACCGCCCAGAAACTAGTAAAGATGACAAGCTGGTGGGAAATGAAGACTACCAACGTCAGCAAGCTAGCTTATTTCCCTTGCAAAAGCAGTTTGTCGTCCATGACGACAGGCGAAACTACCAAAATCAAGAGGAGATCCACTTTTCAGGTGGGAGGACTGGAGAAGAAGAACGACACAACAGGCAATATCAAGGAGCTGACCAGCAGCTTACAGAGGAAAGAAACAATAACGATGAAGGCTATGGACATCCTCTGGATGCTCGATTCTCAAGCAAGCGTACCAACGAGCTGGGACAAGCTTTCCAGTGGCGGCAGCATCCATATGGAAGCGACAGGCAATACGGAGAGGACCGGCATCCGCAAGACCACCATATGGGAGTTAATCGCATTCAGGTCTATATAATCCTGCATTAGATAACTGACGAGGTGTGGTTTTCTACAGGGGTCGGAGCTTATAGAACCTACCTCTAATCGGTTCCAAGATAATCGGCATAGCCAGCTAAAAGGAAATGAACTTTCGATATCATATGCACCCATACAACCGCTGCAGGAGTGTATGCCTGGGTTTTCACCACAGTATCCACATGCAAAGCAGCCACCTTCAGCTCCTCAAGACCAAGTTACAGCCAATGGACATACTCTGGGTCCTTTGTCTTCGTTTCAACACGTCAACATGGAAGGCGGACGCATGTACCAGGATGATAGCAGAGGGTTGCTACCGAGAGGCACTCAACGGTATCAATCTGTACATGGAGTTGTCGACGCCGAGAGGTAAAGCTTCTTCAGGACAAGCTTTGGTCTTATTAACTTCCATGCTTCCCAGCTTGTCCCTATGCTCCGATGCAATGATCGTTCCTCGAGCGGACACTTCAATGTCAAGCGGAGCTTTGCAAAGACGCGAAGCTGACTCGTCGTTGATCCTCTCACTGCAGGGGTATTTCCTGTTCTCAGTCTTGAACTAATCACTCGCCTTTTCTTCCTCGTTTGTCTTAGACGTTTGCGGACGGCTCTCAAAACTTTACTCAAGTTATCTGGGCCTTTGGAAACGCAAGTTGATGCAGATGAAATGCTTTCCTCTGACTTGGAAGTTGTAAGATTTTGATTTTTTCTCTGTTTTGTGAATTTCTAATGTCTTGTCTCGTTCCGCAGGTAACTATATGTGAAAAGGTACTTCAGCATTCTTCCTTTGCACAATTTTTTTCTGACTGGTGTGTTGTAGGCAACGAACTATGTTGGAATGAGGTGGCAAGCCTATGAGCAAGAGATTGCAAAGTTGAAGACCGAGCTGGCTTATACAGTACAGGTATATCTCTCTTATGATCGTCCTTGTAGCACATCTAAACGTTTCTCTCAGGCTGGACAAAATTTTAGAATCCGTGCCATAGCAGGAGAACAATGGGATAACGGGAATGCTACTATCCTGAAGTGACCCTGTGCCTTCTCGTCGACGTTTTGGTAAAATAGACAGGTAGTGTACATGTAAAGTTCTGATACTTTTAGACGAGACTTCGAGCGGGCCTTAGGATTATTGCCATTAACTGTTGATGACTAACTGATTCAAAAGAATGCCCGGGGCTCGTCATATTTCTCTTTGACGTATTTTCTACAATAGATATGTCGTTGTTTGCCAGTTTTGTAGAGTAGACATCAGTCGAAACAACGAGTCTGGTTTTCATTGACGACCAGGAGAATCTTTGTTTGAAGGATCCCAGTTTTGTAAGATCTTCATGAGCGATGTAGCCTTCCGCTTGGCTCGTGAAGACCCGCTGGCCAGAAGCGAGTGTAGTGCTGTTATACTTCCAGGAACAGTCAGAAGGCACCGCACGACGGAGTGATCACCGCCTCGGCACAAGGCAAGCAGTACTCCTGTTGCGTTTTCCTTCTCTCTTGGTGATCCTGACTCGAGAATTCTCACCAGAAACGACATAGCTGAGGATCGTGCAATGGACTTGGCGCCGGGCTCGGAAGCTGCAAGCAGGCCCAGGAGGGCCAGCGAGTTCTCCAGCAACTCGGCGTTGCCTTCGTCGTCCATGTACTGCTCCAGGTTCTCCACCAGCGATGTCACCGCGCCGGCTTGCACCACCTTTTCCTTGTTCTCGTCGAGGAGCGAGAGGTTGAACAGCGCAGACACGGCGTCCTTCTTCCCGGTCTGCGTCCCCTTTTGCAAGAGCTCCACGAGCGCAGGTATAGCTTGTCCTTTGTTCCCGATTGCGACTTTGTTTTCATCCGAGGTTGACAGGCTGAAAATGGTGGCAGCGGCATTCTCCCTCGCCTCGGTGCTGTGGCCGTTGCAAAGCACGACGACGATGGGATCCAGAGCTCCAGCAGTCATGATGAGGCTCTTGTTGCTGTCGAAGATGGAGAGGTTGAGCAGCGCAGTGATGGCGTTCTCCTGCGCCGATGCGTCGCGCGAGAGCAAGAGCGAGACAAGGAAAGGTATGGCTCCCGCTTCAGCAATGCACCTCCTGTTCTCCATTCCTATCTTTGCCAGGAGCCGGAGCTCGTACGCAGCCTGCCTTTGAATATCTGGAGGTCCCATGGCCAGCTTTCCAACCAGAAACGAGGCCGTCATCCTAGCCGCTGCTATCGTGGCCTGAGCATTTGCAATGTGGTCGACACCAACTGTAGCTCTCGAGTCCTTCCCCGACATCCAGAACGGTACCTTGTTCTTCTCGCACCACTGCGCGATGAGGCTCCGCAACGCAAAGTTTGGGATGAGCGTCATGTGGATGAGCTTCTGGCCACTCTTGGGACACGTTATATTACCGGCCTCGACCCACCTCTGTATCGACGATCGGTCGTACGTCTGGCCGGTGGCAATGATCACCGGGTCTCTCATCAGCTCCAAACTTATGGGACACTTGTACTCGTCGGGGATGCTGCTGCTGCTCAAGCTCAAGCTCGTCACCAATTGCTTCTGGGCCTCATCGTCATCCTCGACGTCGAGAGCGTGTTCTTGGACGGGATCCTCAGAGACCATGCCGTAGAGGACGCAGCTCGAGAAGCACAGGAAGCTGATGAGGCTGTTGATCCGGCAAGCCTTTGGTGACCTGGACGACGACTTTCTACTCAGGGAGGACCGGGTCGTCGTCGTCGAGGTGGTGGAGGAGGAGGATGACGCAAGCTTTCGCAGCTGCTCGAGCTCTCTCTGGCACTCCTTGGCACTGGTGAGCAACAGTCGCTTGAACAGCTCCTCGATCCGGTCACTGCTGGGAGTCCTCTTCTTCTCAAACTCCTTGAGCAGCTCCAGCAGCTTGGCCTGCAAGTCGAGCTCCACAGGATCCACAAACAGCTTGAAGCGCCGGGCTTGCAGCTTTAGCAGCTCGACTTGCTCCTTGATCTCGATGGGAAGCTCCAGCAGGCTGAGCGGAAGCATCGACAGTGGAGCGGCCATGTCCCTGGACAGCTCAAACAATTTGGTGGAGTAGAGCTCACACTCGGCCAGGAGCCAGAGCTGGCTCGACTCTCGCAACTCGTCGGCGAGCTCCCCGGCCCGGAGCATGACCGAATGGAGCTCCTGGAACGCTATCACAGCCGAGGGTGGGAGGAGCAAATTCCCGTCTCTTACCTCTTCTACCACCGGGAGCATCAACCTCACTCTTCGCAGAATCACCGTCAAGGTCTTCCTCTGGCACGGACCCAGGTACGCTTGCTGGTGGTGACTTGCGACTAAGTTTGCGGCTTCCAGGAGCTCTTGCACGACAACCCGTGAAGCAGCGGCCATGGCTGACGATGATCCGCGAAAGCTGCCACTGTTTCCACCATGCGACTAGCAAGCATGCAAGCACGGCACAGCGCAAACTTGCTCCTTTGGCTCCTCTTTCTTTGCTTTGGAAGTTGGGATGGGCCAAGTCGTCGTGTTCTTCGGCATTCCCCCCGCGCTGTTTGAACGGCTGGGATATTTGGAGCTTTGTGTTGTGTCGTTTTATGAGCCCACGATGTTCCAAGGGTTATTTTGAATATAATTTGGTAGCATATTCTGCATTTCTATCTCTTGAAATTGGACTTTCAGAAAAAAAAAAAAGGTAAAGGGTAAAGAAAAATAGAGTGATTTTGGTATATGATTGGTAGCTATTATATTAATCTAGACCATTTACTCTTGTATAGAAGTTAAAGTTTTTGCGTTAATTGATATGTACATTTATGTATACACTCACAATATGTGTTTTTAAAATAGATTTGCAAGATGATTATTAACTCATATATAAACAACTTTTCTATTACACTAAAACTTAATGTTTTAAAGCTTAGTAATCTAGATTATATTTAGGTATATACTGGTATATTTGGTGCACGAAACATATAGGCATCTGGTTTTATGGTTTTGATGCAGGGACATTCGTGACCATGGTAGCTCCTTGATACAAGGTCGGATTCGTGTACCAACTAGACGTTGTGAATGAAGGCGATGAATGAACTTGTTGCTTAGCCGCTGCCTTCAACTCGACCAAGAGCAGCGTTTGGTTGTCGTTCTTTGAAGACGATAAGATCTTGTACACAACCTGCTTCAGTTGTTCGTAGTCTCTGGCCTGCAACGCCTTCCGAATCTGTCCACAATGGTAATCGTCTATGCTGTTTTTATCCACTCCATCAGAAGCAAGAATAAGGAAGTGGCAGCCTTTGGAAATGTCAAAGTTGACAATGTCCGGAACAGCACTCACAGCTTGTTCTTCTCGACTCAGCTGCGGATTGCTCTTGAACGACCAATCCCCAATGCTGCGGGTCACCATGAGCGAATCGACATCGTCTTCTTTGCCAGCCAAAGTTATGCGTCCCTTTGAGCCCCTCTCCACATAGCCACCCGCCTTGACGACCCTGTCTAGCTCCCCAGGACACTTGCAGTCATGCTCCTGGCTGATATCCATCACGTACCCATCCACAAACAAGCAGCAGAAAGAATCGCCAACATTGCCAAGAAAAACCTGGTTGTCATCAGTAACCAGAGCCACGGTCGCGGTACTCCCACAGTCGTCAGCATCTGGAGCCCGTGAATCTGCCTCCATGAAAACCTGATGCAAGCTCCTCGCATAGTCGCCGTCCCGGAAAGCCTGATTGCAGCCCAGGATGGTGCTCATGCTGCCAGCGCAGAAGCGTGCCACTTGATCCCCGCCGTGTCCGTCATACACACCTATCAACGAGGCGTTGCCCCCGGCGCATGCCGCTACAGAGTGAGCGTCCTCCATTGTGCTCCTGAAGCCCTCGTCTTGGAAGCACAACACTCTGACGCGCCTGTCCTCCACAACCTCCATTCTGCCCTACCGCCCTCAAATATACTCTGCATTGAAAGGTTGAACAAAACCCGGATCATCCGAAACCTGTGTTCTAGGCATAAGTTTGCTTCGCCATAGAACCTAGTCCTAAAAAAGCTGACCCTACGTTTAAATCGTCGTTACGTGCTCCAGGCTTTACTATCGTCCAAAGAAGTGGCCTCGGTCGTCGTGGTGTCCCCTTCATCCTCGCCAAAAACATGCATTTAATTCTTCTTCCGCGCATATTTTCCACTCCTCCATTTCTTGAGCCACTGGTTTCGCAGCCGCTTTGGATTGGGCAACGATGGATCGCGTTTGGATTTCGGGAAGAACACGCACGGCAGTCATGGCCAGATCTTTAATTTCCACGGAATCTAAAGTCTGGACATAAGATCATGGCGGAGCCTGCTACTTCACCGAGCCGACGAGCAAGCGTGGATTCAGTGCTGTCCGATTTCCAAGTGGAGCTCCTCAAGGTAGAGAATTCTCTGGAGAGTGTGTTATTGCTCACGAATTCTCTCGAGCAGCAGAACCACCGCCAGCAAATCCCCGACGACGATGAGTTCTTCCTCGACGATCATCCAAAGTCTGGACAAAATGGATCGAATTTGCTACTGGACGAACGCGATGCCTCGATGAATGAGTGCTCGACGTCGTCGCCATCGCAATTGGCCGATTCTTCCTCGGTAGCGTTGTGGCAGGGAGGTGTCCGGCTGGTAATTGAGGCACCAATCGCCAAAGTGTGGGAGATCTCTTCCGAGAGGTGCGGAATCTCTCGCTGGATGCCCATGATCGAGGAGTGCGTGGAGATCGATCCGGGCGATGGTATAACCGGCAGCCGGAGGCGAATTTCCGGCGATATCCTCCCCCGGATCGACAACATCCAGTCGTGGGCGATCGAGAAGCTGGTGGAATTCGACGCGGAGAATCACTACTACACGTATGAGGTGGAGGAGAGCAACATTGGGCTGGAGGGGTACCGCGCCACGCTCCAGCTCAACGATTTCGGCGATGACACCACGCTGGTGAATTGGGTGTACGAGGTGAGGGCGATGGAGGACAGCTCCGAAGAGGGCATGGCAGATTACATGGGAATGTTCTTCAAGGCATGCCTCAGGCGCCTGGAACTTCTCGCAAGCGGGAAGGAGAGAGACGACGAGAACACGCGTACAAATCCCATTGATCCAGAGTAAATACGTGTTTGAACACTATTAGTCCAGCTGGCATATAAAAAGAGAATACGTGCCAAATTACTATTGATCCAGCTGGCACAAAGAGAGCACGTGTCAAAATCCCATTAGACCAGCTGGCACAAGCCAGATAAAAAAAATCAAGAAGAATTATTGTCTTACGATCAAAGAATCAGCGTCTTCTCGGTCAATCCACCAGTGCAAAGCCACTAGCATTGGCTGGCTCAGTATAGAGATTGGAAAGAAGAATGTAGCAAGTTTGAGCGTCTGGATTGATCTCCACTGCCCGGCGAGCAGCTTGGCCGCCTCGTTCTTCATCGCCATGGGTCTTGGCAGCAGCCAAGAGCATCGTCCACGCGACGCTACTGCTCTGGATCGCGCTGTTGGAAGCAAACGCGATAGCTTCGTCCAGCCATCCCACTCGCCCAAACACGTCGATCACGCAGCCGTAGTGCTCGTCGACCGGATCAATCCCAAAGTCCTCGACCATCATCCTGAAGTATTCCCAGCTCTTGCTCGCGAGGCCGGCGTGGCTGCAAGCGCCCAAGACGCTGATGAAGGTAACGTCGCTGGGATCGAAGCCTTCGAGGATCATGGACGTGAAAAGCTCCAACACCTTGGTGGATTCTCCTCGCTGCGCGTGTACTTCGATCATGGTCGACCAGGAGCTCACGCTTCTACGCTGGATTCGATCAAACACCTCCCTTGCTCGAGCCAGGCTCCCAGATCTGCCGTGGGTGTTGATCAATGCATTCGCCAAGACAGTGTCCGAGAGGAATCCAGCAGCTTCCACGCGATCGTGGAGGAACTTGCCGTGATCTGGAGAAGAAGATCCGGCGCAGGCTTCCAGCAAGCTCAGGAACGTCACCTTGGACGGCTTGAGCCCTTCAAAGTCGAGCCTCTGGAAGATCTTGAGTGCTTCCAGAGAACGCCCATTCTGGGCATTTGCAGCGATCATCGCGTTCCAGGACACCAAGTTCCTCTCGCTCATCCGATCGAAAACTTCCTTGGCTCTTGCGATGTCTCCAAACCTTCCATACATACTCAAGACCGCATTGGCGAGATTGAGCTCCATCTCGTGGCCAGCTTCCAGAATTCTTCTGTGGATCATCACTCCTTTCTCGTACTGCCCGAGCCCAGCACAGGCATCTAGAAGGGTGATGTGAGTCACAAAGCTCGGCTTCTCGCCCAGTAAATCCATTCCCTGGAGCATCTTCATGGCGCGATCGTAATGCCTGTTCTCGCAGTAGGCTGCGATCATGGAGCTCCAGGTAACCACATCTCTCTCGCCACACCCATCGAAGATCTCCTTTGCCCGGCCCAGGAATCCACAGCTAGAGTACATGTGGATGAGAGCGTTCTTGAGAGAAACGTGGTAGTCTTCCAAGCTTTCCTCGATCAAGCAGTGGAATTGCTTGCCTCTCGTCCCATCCTTGCAGCTCGCGCAGCAATCCAGGACGAGGAGGAAGGTGATTCTATCCGGCCTCTCGCCGAGCTGCTGCATTCTCGACAAGAACTCGATCGCGCGCTGCTCAGCGCCATTCCGAGAGAATGCCGTGAGGATGTTGTTCCAGGAGAAGACATTTGGGGCGTGGATGCCGTGGAACACCGCTAGAGCATCGCCGACGCGGCCGCATTTGCCATACATCTCCACCAGGAGATTTCCAAGGTACCTGTCTCGATCCAAGCCCCTGGCGGCGATGGCGCCGTGCACGCGCCGGCCCGCCTCTAGATCGCGCGTCGCGAGACATCGCCGTACTGCTGCCTCGAGCGCCGAGTAGCTACGAGCTTCCTCCGACCGATCAAGAACCCTAGCTCCTCTCTTGAGCATCCAAAAGCATCATTCCAGCCAAGATCAAGAATATTCTCAAGAAGGTATTATTCAGAAAATATTCCTTAGGGCTTTGCACAAGGTATATGCTCGAGGATATCCTTGTCATAACACGTGTCACGAGAATGAAGGGCGGGAATGGAGAGAGGAATTTTGTGCTGTGGCGTTCTTCCTTGGAAGAACGCCGCGCGCTCCATTCCATCGATCGATCCACACAAGAGGCGGCTATGGAGGAGCCAGATCTCGGTCCGCGCGAGGAGGGCGCCATCGATCAGGGCGGCATTTGACGCGGATCTCACAGAGCAAATCTCCGGTCAGGGCAAGCTCCAGTCTCCATTCCAGGTAGCGCTAGGGCTGGGATTTCTCGTGAGCTGGGACAGGGCCGTGGCCGGCGCTCTCAGATGGAGTGGAATGCCGGCAGCGGCCAAGAATCTCCCGAGCGCCTCGCTAGGGATGATCTCGCTCGTGGCAGCACTGCTGCTGCTGGATCGACTCGCGCCAGATGCTTGCAGCGGGGTGAATTCTTTCTTCTTCCCCTCGGTGGAGTTTGTCCAGAGATGGATGCCGCTCTTTTATGCACCAGCTCTGGCGATGCTACCGGCGGGAGCCAAGAGCCTCCAAGTCATGGATGGGATCAAAGTGGTTCTTTTGACTGGTAACGTTGTTCTTCGTTTTTCTTCTTTCTTTCTCTGATGGTTTGTTCTTTGTTCTTTGTTCTTTGCTCGTAGTTTTTTCGTGGGCTGGGACACTCACAGTCACGACTCTCTTTACCACTCTTGTCCGGAGATATGCCAAGGCGAGGCTTGAGGAAGCTCCAAGCGGGATCTCTTTGGCTCCTTTTAGCATATGGGAAGCGATACCATGGCTAGCAATTGGAGCTGCTGGCTTCATTCTGGTTTACGTCTCGCCAACTTTGCTAGGCTCTCCTGCAAGGACTTTGATCCCGTTTCTACTGTCGTCGACTGTGGTGGGATTTCTTCTTGGTTCCTTGTGAGTATAATTCTTTCCGATTTTGTTATTACATTTTTTGATAGTAAGTTCCTTTCTCTGTTTGAAGTCTTCCAGGCCCAGTAAAGAGATTCCTTCATCCAGTCATTACGTGTGCCATCTTTGTAAATGCTGCCGCACTTTTCTTCTCCATCGCAACCGAGAAGCAGTTTCTATCCGTGCTCGGTAAGTTGTCTCATCTTTTTGTTTCTCCTTGTTTCGAATGTGCAAATTCCAGGTTCGTACATCACGAATAATCTCAAGGATCCAGGTGCTGGGGATGTTCTTCTAGCCTTTGTTGGACCCCTAGCTATATCATACGGATTCTTGCTCTACCGGCAACGCAGAGTAATACTTTTGTGCTTTTGCTAGCATTTGTTCCTGACTGTTTTCCTGTTTCGCTTAGATTATTGTTCGGCATGGAATTGAGCTGGCCTCAGTGGTATCGGTGGCTGGTATGGTTTCTGTGCTTATCACGACGTACGCTGGTCGTGCACTGGATCTCAGCTCTCAGCTCATAAACTCGGTTGCTCCGAGCAACGTAACGTTTGCATTTGCATTGCCGGTAGGCAATCTCTTACAAGGTGAGACGAGCGTGTCTGACGTAATTTCGATGACTGATATTTTCTTTGTCTGTTTCCATGCAGCAAATCCTTCGCTGGTTGTATCGTGTTGTGTATTGACTGGCATTTTGGGAGCTAATCTTTCGAGGCCGCTTCTTCTCAAAGCTACAAAGTCCGATGATCCGGTGGTGCGAGGACTCTCAGCTGCTTGCAGGTAAGAATAAGAAAACTCTTGCATCGTTTCTAACGTTTGTGATGATTTCTCGGTTTAGTTCTCATGGCTATGGATCGGCGTCAGTCGCTGCGGGAGAGCCGGATTTGCTCCCGCTTTGTGCCGTCGCTTACATCCTCATGGGAACGTTTTGCTCGCTACTTTGCAGCGTTCCAGCACTGGGACGCATAATATCCAAATAATGCGTGTGTGATAATATTTATTTGAGTTTCCCAAAGACCAAAGAACACAACTAATCTAAACCGTTAGATTGAATACCCTGAAATATATAAAAAAAAAAATGGAGATGCTAGGAATTGAACCCAGTCACTTTTGAAATGTCAAATTGTGATGAACCACTACATCTCCTTTGATGATTTACAATTTAATTTATGGAAGTCTATAAATTTTAAACACGTTTAGAAAAATGAACCTTGTCACACTTGGATTTCACCGTTTTTAATTTAATAAATGAATGAATTTTGATTCTTGGACAAGCGTACTGATCCGGCGTAGCTCAGTGATGTGTGCTTCGTCTGGCTCCACTGGTATGATCTTTGCAGCTTTTCCTTGATTCAACAGCTTGACAACGTTGTTTGCAGCCTCAAGCCCCGTCACATATGCTTTCTCCTACAATGACAAAGTTTTGGTTACATCTTGAAAGCACCACGGAATCCAGAGTACCTGAGACCAGGAGCCGTGCCGGGTGATGATCCAGTCACCGGCCATAAACAGGTTTGGAAAGCTTGTGGTTCCTCGCATCATATGTTGGTACGAGCCTTTGAACATCCACAAGTCATATCTTTTGAGCTCGCAAAATTAAAAACAGCTTCTCTCGTACCTGGAGAGAAATGTGTCACGGCTTTCCGGAAGCGGACCACTGCTTGATCGACAACTTCTGCTGCTGCGAATTCTGGAATGCACTTTGCAAGGTAAGTCATCACCTTTTTCACGATCTGGTCGTCGCTCAGGGGCAGAAACTGATTGGCATGATACTGCAAATTGGACAAAATACACATTAACCAGCAGGAATGACTTATCAAAACTTACAAAGTCGGCTTCCACAACAGTTCCTTTTTCGTCCTTGTACTCGTCGTGCAAGGCATTGAGATCAAAGAAAGTCCACCCTGTAGTTTCATCAAATCCGAAACAAGCATTGCTGGGATGATTTATATCAACCTGACAAACAAAATTATTTTGCAGTAAAAGAAGAAACTATGTCAATACCTTACGATCAAGCCAGAGCCGAACGCCAAGGATATCTATAGCTCCAAGGTTTTGTATGTCCAGAAACTCCTCGCTCTGTTGCAACGCAGGACTGTAGCCACGACCAAACAACTATATCAATATATGAACCACAAAATACTGGTCTTCTACCTGGACTCGACAATGCGTTGCATTGCCGTGACACCGACGGAGAAAATAACTGCATCGGCATTGAACAGCTCGTTCCCACACCTCACTCCACTAACTTCCCCAGTAGGCTCGTTGATTGTCAAATCTGTCACTTTTTTGCCACTTAAAAAGCGGCATCCTCGTGCATTTAGCACCTCCAGCCATGGCTTGAAGATTTTTTCTCCAACTGTTCCACGGCACCAAACAACGTCAAAGTCCGACTGCAAATAATAAGATAAACATGAACTGTGAGAACTTTTCACGAGTTTTAACAAAACCAACAAACCTGATGCGCAAGAATGAAATAGTAGAGCATTCCGAGTGTGGCTGCGGCGCTGCATTGTTCTCCAGGCGCGAAAAGTCCAACTAGAAGCATTGGGTTGAAGGCATCCTTGTACACTCGTTCCGAGCAACCATAGTTACGAAAGAGCTCACGAGCGGTTGCTAACAACACGACCTTTAAGATTTTGCATCGTTTGCAAAGTAGAAATTTCACTCACTTTTATCGTATTTTCTCCAGGCACGGTCGCTGTTGTCGAAATCTACCACCGTATACATGAGTGGAAGCGCAGTCAATCGGTCCCAAAGCGGAAGCCTGAGGAACTGCGAACATTTCCAATGCATATCACGTCACGGAATGATCAGGAATTCAAACTACCTCAAACGGTTATGAAGAAACCTGAGTGTATACAAATGTGCCCAAGGGACTTGGCAAACGAGGAAGGTCTTGAAATATTGGAGACTCAACCTGTCAAAGAACAAGCAAAAAACTAAAAATCTAACAAAGAAATCTAAGAAAACAGAAAAGGATGCTAGTTTACCTCCAAACCATTGGGAGAATACTGTGAAGAGCGTGTCCACTTTGTAAAAGGCTTGAGTCCGAGCTCATCAACCAGTGAGAAAATATTCTTGTATGGGTACCAAAATCCTGGTCGAAAGAAGAAAGCTTTCGAAAGGAAAACCAGGAAATCTTTACCATGAATTCCAACTTCCACCGATCGCCCCGACGCAGTTTTCCATCCAGCAACCAATCCTCCAGGTTGAGCTCCGGCCTCAATCAATGTAACATCAAAGCCCTGCATTTTCATCTATAATCCCTTTGCAACAAAAAAGATTCCACTCACTTGTTTGAGGAGATGGTGCGCGGCGCCCAAGCCCGCCCATCCAGCTCCCACTACAATCACCTTCTTCTTCTTATCGATTTCCTGCCTCTCAGCTCTTATCTCACGCAAGCGCCGTCCTCCCCGTCGCCGATTGGAGATCGCCGAGCTCCACAACGGCAATGCGCTCGTCGTGGCCATACAAGAACCCTATCTCGCTAGGCCGGGATGTTTAAATCCCTGGAAATGGATATCCTCTCTAACATTCATCCATCCGTTGTAGTCTAGTTGGTCAGGATATTCGGCTCTCACCCGAAAGACCCGGGTTCAATTCCCGGCAACGGAAAAATTTTAGTCTTTAAAGTTTTTTATAAGCTCTACAGCCCAAAATAATTCGTCTTGATCTAGCGATTTAAAAAATGGCACTGGACGAGACACTTGACGAGATAGACTGCTTGTTCACCTCTAGAAGTAAAAGTAAACACACCTCACTTAGAAACTTGACGTTCTCCAAAGAGCAGCGATGTGTTCTCTTCTAGAACATCGCTGTTCTCTTCTAAAACTTGTGCATCCTGTAAAATTTCTCATGACAAGCATAGAGAGATTGCTGCTAACCTTTCCTTAGGTGTGAACAATCTTCTCCACGACAAGTCAGGATGTGACAAGGCACGACGGTTAGGGCAGCATTCTCATCTCAACCTCCGTCTTCCTACAACACACACAGGCACGCCCACTATGGACGTGATTGATCTCGAGATTGGAAACAAGATCTACATTTCCAATCTCGACGAGTACGCCACCAACGAGGACCTCCAGGTTTCTCCAAATTTTTAACTTTCTCTCTTCTTTAACAAGGACACACTCTTTGTTCAGGAACTCTTTTCTGAAATAGGAGAACTGAAGAGTTGGAGGGTGCACCGCGATAAACTGGGAAACTCAAGAGTAAGTCCAAATCAAAACTGCACATATCTTACTATCCAAACCGATCCATCTCTCAGGGAACAGCGGAGGTCGTCTTCGCACGCCGAAGTGATGCCGAGAGAGCCAAGAAGCTCTACAACAATGTCATGCTTGGTATCAAGAGACTCAGGATTGAGATTGCGTAGAAGCGTAGGAACCTGCTCTGTGCATCTTCTCCAAAACTCGGAAAATTTGTGAATCTACCTCAAGCACCGCTGTTATTCTGCTTCAAAAAAAATTTCCTTTAGATAAAAGGGGTATATAAATATCTGGGTATATTATGTTTCATTCTAGCCTTGAATTTTCGTTGTTGTTATTGATTAAAAATATATTATTATAGAGAGGTTTTGCGAAGGCGCATTCGCGCGACGTCGATTTCGACTACATCAATGTGCTCCAGGACGACACCTTCGATTTCGGTAAGTCGGGCGAGAATGCGTACGAAGCTCTCGGCCCGCTGCTCGTCAACGCCGAGAGCGTGGCGGACGATGCTGAAGCGCGATGGGTAAGAGTTTCTTCCTTGCTCCTAGGATCTAGAACGATTGCGCAGCTAGAAATTTTATTAGGAAGAATGAATTGGAGAAGTTCTGAGTAGTACAAGGATGGAATTTTTCATGTACTGAATATAGAGTATTTTGATGCTTGTGTTCCAGTTTTGCATGAAGCTTGCTGAGAAATTCTACCGAGGAAGAGAACAAATTATCGGTCTGGCTGCTCTGGTGCGCATTTCAGAGGTCTCCGTAGCTCCGAGGCTGCAAGCACAGCACACCAGGAAGATCTTCTCCCGCAAATCTCCGAGTGCGACCAGATAAAGCTCGAAAAAGAAGAACAACAGAAAAGGGTTTGTTCTTGTTTGTTCTTCTTTCTTTTCTAGCACCTTTCATTTCTCTTGTGATACACAGGCAGACTACGAAGAGCATGTTGCTGCAGCAGATGCCGCAGCAGCTGGGATGGCTAGTCTTTACAACACGGACGGAGATGCCACCCTACCGAAAGATATAAGGATGGAGAACTTTAGCATCTCTATGGGCGGAAGGGCCTATCAACAGTGCATCTGTCACGCTTGCTTATGGTCGAACATATGGTGAGCATTTTCGTTTTGTGTTCCATAACTCGAATTGATCAAGTGGTGTGGCTTAAGGTCTTGTTGAGAGAAACGGTACCGGCACATGGCAATGCATGCTATCGATGGACTACCAAAGAATTGAAATCTTACACGTCCAGCAAGAGGTGGTTAATGCAAAGAACCAGTGCCGCTTATATATTAGCTGTAAGTAGCAATGTTTTCTCCAAATTGTCGGTCCTGAAAAGCTGTTGCAGGGATGGATAAGACCTTAGACACAGCATATGCATAAAGCTGCTGTTGTGCGAGATCATCTGGGCCAGAGAGACATTAGAAGAAATGCACTTCTGCTAGGGCATCCAGGGGAGAGCTGGCACAATCCCTTTCTTTACTCCATCCAAGCTTTGTATACCTAGCATAGGCACACACTTTTGTGCTGTTGTGACCCACTGAAGTTCTAGATGTCAAGCTGAGTCAATGTAGTATATCTCCACATGTGCTACCAGCTCGATTGATTTCAAAACATACCGCATTGAGAAAACTTCTAGCATGCGACACAACGATGAGTGTCCTCGGCCACTTCAAAAGATACGTCTCTAGCCACAATACTGAGGTCCAAATGATTCTGCAGGTATTTGATTTTAACACAAAGCAAGACAAGTAATGTTACCGCACCGTTGGTTCATCGAGCAGTAGCAGGTCGGGCTGTATAAACAATGGTATCCGCACACGCCAGCTTCCAGAGAAAGTCTTAGTTTCTCGAACTTGCATGTCGGACGAAAGCTCAGGCCTGCAAGGGCAAAAGTTAGTCACTTACAAAGGAGATTACGACACATTCGAGCGGACGTACGCAGAACATCTAGCAAATCAACAGAAGCCACACAAATCGAATGAGCGTACTCGAGCGCACATCCAGGTTCGCCTGTCTTGACATTCAGTTGACCAGTTGTAACAGCTCGTGCCTATTTGCAGGCATTCGTAGACAAGTTTAGATACAACACAAAACGTGCGTCGCTGGTTCAGTCGAGAATCAAAATAAGCGCATGCCTTCGTCACGATTTTTCTCTTACAATTGTGTGGATTTTTAGGCTTTGGATCGGACCTCCGTTGTAAATGATAGAGAGTATGTTTTGTGCTCATTAAGCTTACTTCTAATATGGTCTTTTCTCCAGCTACAAGTTTGAGTTCCCTGGCTCCATAATTAGCTTCAGGTGACTAATCTATGACTTGCGTCGTGATTGACTTTAAAAATGCTCTACAGTGACACGTCATTTGGATATCCAGGAGGCCCAGTCCTCTCTAGAAACCTGAACATTGGCCTCGACTTGGACAGTCGCCTAGCTGGAAATGTTATACCGGCTCTAAAGTTTTGATATTTTAGTTGTTGGTGCTAATGGGGTTGGCAAGCTGCTGAAGCTGATCTCTGGTGAATCGGAGCTTCGTTTGGTCTCTTGGAAACATGGTGCTTCAAGCCATGTATACTCTATCAGGTAACTCATGAACTACTTGTTTCCTTGACTAAAAGTTTTTATACAAGTGGGCAAAAGAGTTCTGTGGCTTTTGCAAAGATCACATTCAACAAACCACACATTCTTTTACAGGATGATCTTTCAAATCATCTTGTAAGAATCTTCTATTGTCTTCCAACACTATCTTGATATTGCCATGCTTATAGAACCTTGATCCCATGGAAGCATTTATGCAAGGCGTAACACTCTTTCAGGGAGGAAGCATTTATGCAAGGCCTAGCACTCTTTCAGGGAGGAGTTTTAATGGTATGAGTTCCGAAGGATTGTTTTCCTGATGAATTCTTCCAGTTCGTCAACAAAGGTGGCTTCAAGCGGAGGTCCCTCACGAAGAAAAGTAGCTCTGCAAAAAATTGGAGAAGAGATGGATAGATGATCATTCCTGTTGCATTCTTTGCTGCTTGTATTGCTCTCGAGTGAGGAGTGATTTCTCGGCCTTTTTCCATGCTTCTGGCTTTGGCATTAGAATCGCAATGTAGCCTTGCGAGGCTGGCTGCCAAAAGAAAAAGGAGAAAATGAGCTCTAAGAATGGCACAAAAGAAGACGAACTTTACGAGATAGTAGCGAAGGATCGCTTGTCAAGCGCTCGTTCACCTCTAGAAGTTGCCCTCTTATGCAACACCTGCAAAGAAGAAAAACATAAAATCGAGATCTACAGCACAAGAAAACGTCCACAAACCTCACTAGAAACTCGGCATCCTCCGAGGAAACTTTGCACAGGGATGAATTCTCTTCTAGAACTTGCGCATCCTGTAAGATTTGTCGTGAAGAATCACTTGCTATCGATCTAGAGCATTGAGAGCTTGCTGCTGCTAACCTTTTTTCTCCTTCCACTGGCTTTCATGTCAGCACGGCTCTTCTTTCCAACATCGTAGTCTACGATTTTGATCTTCGATGGAGAGCGCAAAGCCAAATGAGAGGGAGCCAGTCCTACAACACACAGTCTACACGCAACTAAGAGAGAAAACTTGAAAGATCGATGAGTTACACACCCGTTTCCATGGCGGTAGAGGTACTGATCGTGAAATTCCTTACCTCCCACATCTGAGTGAGCAAGGGAATGAAATTATAAGCAGAAAAACGCGAGAGATTTTTTTACCAAGCGCGAAGTAGTGCGTGAAATTCGTCTCGTGAGCTGGAGGAGCCCTGGCAGGGAGCTCGTGAGCCCGTGGATACAGCGCCAGCACGGCGGCATTCTCCTCCTCCTTGTCCTCCATTTCTATTCTCAAGAACCCTAAATTTCAGGATTTTAGGGTTCTTATTATTGGAGCGAAGCAATGCCGCGGCAGTATTTGGCACCGCCATTCTTTACCAAAGGATCCTTCTACAGCGTCGTCATCCCGGCGGTCCTCAAGAACAAGCGATTCACTGGCCGGCGGCGCCGCGGGCAGGCCAAGGACAAGATGCCCAGTCGATACGCGGTCTTTAGCGGCGTATCGCCGGCGGCCGAGGTAAGCGATACTCTCGGTCTCTTTTCTAGAAGAATGCCGCTGGTAGTGATTTCCTCCTTGTTTCTTAAGACTCATGGAAGCAAATCTCTGGAGAATTTGAGGAACAAGCGCATGACTTTCAACAAAGTTGTCACGGATCACATTGATCATTTCTCCAAAGGTATCGTTTTGTCATTCTTTTCTCTTCTTTCTGATTTTACTCGTTTCTTTCTTTCATCTTGACACTTTCCAGAGGAGAAATCGCCTGGGCTGTCACGGATTATGGTATCACTTCTCAAAGACGTTCGAGCTAAAGTATGTAACTGGTCTCTGTATTTCTAGTTTTCTGTTGTAAGACGGTACGCTTTCAGGTGAATGAACCTACTGAACTGAGACGAACGGAGGTATGATATTTTTCTTTCTTGCTTGTCATTTTCGGCTGACTGGAGGATTCACGCAGGGCGTGCACTCGGACCTCCTCAAGTTTTTGCTCAACAGGAAACGAGAAGATGCGAGGAGGAAGATTCTCAACTCTTAGGAAAGTTCTCGTGGTTAAAAGGTAGTCTTGCTTCACGCTTTGTGGCTTTATTAGTGTTTTTTTCTAAGTTTCCAGTCAAACTCAGCACCATGACAGAGATATTCTAGACGTGATCAGGAAAAAGAGCTCACTGATAAAGAGAAGTTAGACCGACGAGAGAGACAAACTAGAACAGCTTTAACAGCGCCATTTGAGTATCTACAATCGTTCGGAACAGCTCGTGTACATGCCCAAGCTTCTCACAAAGACTTCCGAACCGTCCGGAACTGTTTTGTATCCGCGTGACAACACCTTGCTGAGCAGTTCGTGCAGCGTCCTCGCACAGCAATCCAAGGTTTCAGGAATCCAGCAACTTGGCAGAGCAGATAACCGTCCAGCCAGTCGGGATCGCTGCTGGAGATTGGGAGGCACAGGCCTGGAACAATCAGCGAAGAGCGGACATGGCTGATTGAACCCATAGAAGAATGAAGATTTTGTTAATCAGTTAGTTTGTGTGAGGTCATTACCAAACTGTTGAATGCAACAAACTGCACCAATACTGGCCACATTTGGTTCACTGCATATTCTAGTTTCTTGGGGTGAATTTGCAGCATCATGCCTTGTTGAAGAGATCCCTGACCTCCATCGCAAGCACTCTCATATCACTCTAGCGCTTGGTGAAAACACCGGGCCCAAACTAACGATGAAAACCCTCTTGGAAGATGAGTAATTGACATGAAAGAAAGTATACAAGAATGTGTTGAACCTCATAGTATGGTAGAAATTGTGAGAGGTAATTGTTTAAAGTATTTGGCTTCAATGAGATGGCAATTTGTGCCCCAAGGAAAAACAAAGGAAATGTTCTTTTAGAAGCAATCTCATACAAAGGAAGAAAGCCTTACTTGATTCCTTTTTTGTAAGATTTCATTGAAGCTATAAGCTTGCAGTTGCTTTGTTGTTTAGAGAGGGAGAAAGAAACATTGACAAGTTCAAAAGGGATTTAAATCAGAGTCTAGAGCTTATGGTATTTGGCCTTTGGGCAATGGTTAAATTGGGAGAGATAACTATATATGGGAATGAGGAGCACACAACTCAGCAAAATGAAGAACTTGAATGCTTAACTTCAAGGGTGGACGAAGGCACTCCACAAGGCTTAGAGAATGGAACCAAGTGCTACAGAAGATGGTAAAACTGCCTTATGAAATATTATGGAATAAGGCACTTACATCATCAACAAGTCTGGGAGGTCCTGTGTTGTTCTGCTTAACCTTTTTGAGGGGAGTAGCATACAAATCACGAGCCACCTCTGCACTGCCACATTTTCAACAATCTGCAAATAATGTACTTAAGAGGCATAGCAACAGATGGCAAGAAACTAAAAAGTATGATTTAGATAGTAAAGGAATCATAGAGCATTTTAGCGGAATTCCCGAGCAATTGCAGGCTTGAGAGGTTGCTTGTGTTTTAAGATGATATTGTGGGCACTTCAGTGGCTCGATGGTTATCTCAACGACAGGAGAACAAGAGCTACTTTCAGAGCTTAGCAGATAATCGAGCTTGGATGCGAGGTTCCGCTCAAATTCTTGCTCGCTGCTGGCCGAGAAAGAAGATGGTGATGAGTCACATCCAGCGATGGTAATACGAGGAAGATAGGCTGAGGGCCGAGCTTAGCTTAAGTGTACTTTCTATATAGTGATTCTAATTCTTTGCTCAGGGATGAAAATTAACATGACACTGCATGTGTTTGTGTTTGTCTGATCGGACAATAAGAGAACGAAACTTAGACAGTACTTTAGACAAATAGAAAAAGTAATGCAATGTTTTGATTTCCTGTGTGCAAGAGCATAGACTCTCAAGTGGTTTATAAGTTCACAAAGGGAAAATAATAACATAATACTGTGAATGTCTGACAGTGCTGCATTTTCAAGAACATGTCCACCAAACTTGTTGCCCTTAGCTCATAGCTTTTCTCAGGTAGGTTTAACGAAGATTGTCGTATGCTTGTCATTAAAGTCGCTCAGTGGCAGATCGCCAGTCTTGTCATTTATTCTTCAATCGTCCACTGTATATGTATAAGATGTTCACTCTATTATTATTTCAATCTTTTTGTCAATGGCCTCTGTCCTAGCTAGAATAGGCGGCGAGATCTTCACTACATACGTCTCAAACCACTAGCACGGTTACACATTGTTTTGTCCAGTTACTCTTAGCAGAGAATCACACTTTTCACAAATTTATCAGCGCACAACCAATACAAGAAAAAGGAAAAACGAAGAACACTCACTCAATCCATGGATAGTAGCTTGGAACGAAGCGGGAGCGCCCGAATCGTTCCAGTCGCAGAAGAAGAAGCGATAGAGATCGATGCCGACGAGAAGCGTCTCAACGAGCTGGGCTACAAGCAGGAATACCACCGAGTTATCAGTCCACTCCAGCAGTTTGCTTACACTTTCACTTACACTGCGCCGCTGGGATTCGTCACGGGTTACTACGGCTACATGTACTGCTACGGTGGTCCGGTTGCCATCTTCTGGGGGATGATCGTCGCCACTCTCGCCAGCCTTTGCATCGTTCTCGCCATCGCCGAGGTCTACTCCATCTTTCCGGCGCTGGGGAGTGTTTATTACTGGGTGGCGCAGCTCATGCCTGATAAGAAAGCGCACTGGCTGTCGTGGGGAGTCGGCTGGATCTACACTCTCGGAGCTGTGTGTGGAACCGCGCTAAATGAGTACCTTCTCGGGAAGTATGTCCAGTCGATGGTGCTTCTCAGTACTGGAGGAGCGCAGAAGGGAGGATTCACCCTGTCGAATTATCAGGCAAGTTGTCAAAAACCAAGAGTTATGGAAGACGAGAAAGTACCTCTGAATTTTTCTCTTAAGGTGGTGCTTGTCACGGCTGGATTTTTCGTGATCCATCTCGGAGTGTCGGTGGTGAGTTCGAAGTGGCTGGGATACTTGAGCTGCGTTGGAGCCTGGTTTCAGCTAGTCTCCACTCTCGTTGTCGCGGTGACGCTCATCAGCATAACTCCCAAGTTCCAGAGCTTCCAGTTCGTCTTTACGAAGTTTGTCAACGCTCCAGGCCAGGGGATCCACAGCAAGTCCATGGTGGTAGCGCTCGGCCTTCCTTACTTGCAGGTAGGATGATCCAGAACTTCTGAATCCGGGTAGAGTTCTTTCTTCTTTCTTCGCAGGCGATTCTCACGGGATTTGATGTCGGATCGCACATCGTCGAGGAAGTGAAAACTGCGGCAATCGCTGGGCCAAGAGCGATGGTGAGGAGCGTCTACGCCACAGCGGGAGTCGACTTGATGCTACTCTTGGTCATGACTTTCTGCATCGTAAATCCGGACGACCTTCTCTCGGAGGACACAGCAACCGGTAAAGTTCTCGCAGCAACTGAAGTTTTCTCCTCCCAACTTTCCTTGATCTTCCAAGCTTTCCACAGGAGGAGGCAATGCATCCGGCGGCATCCAGCTCTTCTATGACTGCTTCCAAGCTCGATACAACCACGGCACTCTGGGAGCAGTGATCTTCACAGGCCTAGCAGCGGGGTCACTGTTCTTCGCCAACATCATCAACGTGACGCTCACAGCAAGATGCGTAAGTTTTCTCCTCCACCACCACCTTCTTTTCCCTGTCCTGGACGTTCCTCTAGCAATCCAAGTAAGTGATCCATCTCTCCATCTATAGGTGTACGCCATGGCCAGAGACCTGGGACTTCCATTCCACGCCACTCTAACCAAACTGACCGCTCGCGAGAAAATCCCTGTCAATGCCACCATCGCCACCGTGATCGCTGCCTTCGCCGCCACGCTCCCATCCCTGGGAAGCGAGGTAGCATTCACGGCAATCGCCGCCATGTCCACAGTCACAGCCTTCATCCCCTACACGATCGTGTTGATTTGCAAGCACCTGGTGAGGAAGAGGGATCTTCCTCCCGGCCCCTTCTCGCTGCGCGGCTGGGGAGCATACCTGGGAGGCGTGGGAGCGATGTGGGGAATGGTGATCACGCTGCTCTTCTGCCTGCCGCCTACGCTGCCCATCCGGCTCGCGACCTTCAATTACACGGCGCTATCGCTGGCGGGGACGCTCGTCGCGGGGATCGCCTACTGGATCGCGCACGGGAGGCACACGTACGCCGGCCCTCGCAGGACCATTTGAGAAGAACATTCCCAAAAGAGAATATGCTATTAGGTCAATATATTCGTTTTGTCAGCAAGAATGACTTGACCACGTGATTCTTTGACGAATTTTCAAACTTTATTGACCCACGTCCGTGCACGGCCAAAACTCCACCAATAATGCTTCAATTCAGCCAAGCTTTTGGATATGGCGCCCATGCTTTTGCTGTTTTTCCTCTGCGCATTAGTTCATTGCCTCCGGGCTGTAACAGAGGTTGAAGTTCTTCTCGATTTCAAGAAGAACATCATCAATGGAGCATCCCTTTTGCCCGATTGGAATGCCGAGAATTCGACCCTGTTCTGCAGCTGGAGAGGCGTATTATGTGACGAATCCGGTGCCTATGTCACGGCTCTAGAACTTCCTGGCATGAACTTGACGGGCAGGATCACCAATCAGATCGGCCATCTTTCGTCCCTAAAAGGCCTAGATCTCCATGAGAACAACTTCTTTGGTGAAATTCCTTCGAGCCTTGGGAACTGCTCGAAGCTCTTCTATGTGTATCTTTATGCGAACCATCTGTCGGGTGCAATCCCCGCAAGCCTGGCGTTTTGCGACTCTGGCCCAATCCGGCACCTGCTGCTGAGCGACAATTCTCTCGAGGGAAGTATTCCAAGTTCCTTCTGCAACACGTCTAGTATGGTCATCAGATTGAGCCTTCGCTCCAACAAGATGAATGGCAACTTGTCATGCAAGCCACAAATTATTCGTCACCTTGATCTTTCCCACAACAGATTCACTGGATCTATACCTGATAACTGGACCGTCAACTATCTAGATCTATCATACAACTCTCTCTCAGGGACAATCCCGGCAAGATACTCTGATGCAGTGATTCTCGACCTCTCCAACAACATGCTCTCGGGAGAGATTCCAGCTCCAAACAACAACTGCTTCTGGCTGCAGATATTGGATCTCTCTTACAATCGTCTAACCGGTACGTTCCCAGAATCTCTTGGGACTTGTATGCACCTTCATATTCTCAATGTTGAGCGAAACCTCATGGCTGGAGAGATATCCTTGAACTTCAGCGGGCTCGGAAATCTTAACTCCCTTCAACTCTCTGGAAACCAATTCAGCGGTCTTATCCCGAGAAGTTTCTATTCTTTCCCGGGCAGGCTCGACTCAATGGAAAGGTCACCTATTGACACAAAGTATGTCTACTGCAACTCTGGTCTCTTGCTCCTGGATCTGAGTTATAATAACTTCTCTGGCACATTTCCAGAGATATTTTGCACCTGGCACTGCTTGAAAGTTCTCCTCCTCTCTTCCAACCAGCTGTCCGGAACGATACCAAAGTGTATAGGCAACATCAGCAATGCCAGGGTGATCGATCTGTCCAGCAACAAGTTCTCAGGGGAGCTCTCCACCACATCGTTGATCAACCTGACGGCGTTCAGGTCAGTGTCGAATTGGAGCATTGGATGGTACAGCTTTCTCAACCTTGGGGACAACTCTGGCACTGAAGCGGACGACTTCACCGCATATGATAAGCCTTTCGACTTCAACGTGAATGTCAAGGGGCGTCGATCCACGTACCAGAAGCTGAGCGATTCTTTCACCATGTTTGACGTCTCCAGCAACTTGCTTCGAGGGCACATCCCACCATTCGACCACCTCCAAGGTCTCATGCACTTGAATCTCTCCTTCAACAAGTTCGATGGGCAGATCCCTCGGGAGCTATCCGGTCTCAAATCCCTCGAATCACTCGACTTGTCCAGCAATGCCTTGTCTGGAAGTATACCTCCAGCCCTCGGCGAGATCTCATCGTTGTCAAGCTTCAATATTTCCCACAACAACTTGAGTGGTCGAATTCCAAGTTCCGGAAACCTCAACACTCGGTTTGTGGAGGCGGCATTTGATGGTAACCCTCTACTGTGCGGAGCACCACTGCCACCTTGTCACGTCCCAAGCTCAAGTCTATCGCCCAGGAGCCCGGTTATCAATGTAAGTTCTTCATGGGACCAAATCATCGCAGAGAATATTGCTTTCTATGCGGCAGTGGCCACTGGTTTTTCTATTTCACTGAGTTGTGTGCTCTTCACAAGGATTGGGGTGCTCCTGGAAAACTTCATAAGGTCAGTTCTGTACAAATCTCTTTCGATTCATCTTAGAAGATCGAGAGTGGTATGAGTTCCAAACTAAAGATGAAATGAAAGACGATGGTGTGATGAATGAAGGCACTGGCGGAGCTCATCAGGGAATGCAAGAGCGTCGCTGAGGCACGAGAATTCCACCGCCACATTGTCTCCACCGACTTGACGAGCTGCGCTCATGGCGTCTACCTCTCCAACCTCCTCATCGACGCATTCGGGCGATGCTCCAGCGTCCAGGACTCCTGCATCGTCTTCCACTCCCTGCGCCCGCGAAACTTCTTCTCCTGGCGATCGCTCCTCGCGGCCTGCCTCCACGACAGCCTCCTCGCCGAGGCGGCACAGATCCTCGCAAAGACGCCGCAGATGGACGTCGTCGGCGGCGCTTCGATGGTGGGAGCGCACGCGCAGAGCGGCGATCCCGACGCAGCCAAGGCGGGGTTCGATCGCATGCCCTGCCCGAATTGTATCACCTGGACGGCTCTTCTCTCGGGATATGCCAGGAACGGGCATTTGGATCGAGGAAACCCCCACAGCCACCAAAATTCCTTCGAGGTTGAGTGTAAATTCCATAAGGGATTCATACTCATTGAAACCATAAAGCCACAAGAGGATGGAATTTGGTCCTGGAGAAAATATCAAGCTCAACAATACTGAAGGAATCTGGCAGAGAAAAGAATGAATAACAAACCCTAAATTCGGAAATGACGTATACAGAGTGTATTTTAAGAAATGGTCTAGTGGTATGATTCTCGCTTAGGGTGCGAGAGGTCCCGAGTTCAATTCTCGGAATGCCCCATTATCTTATTTCTTTTAGAAGAGAAGGCTTCTTTGGCGCCACGCCCAAGCAATGACTTGCCACCGAAGAAGAAAGTTGTAAGAAAGGATCACACACGCCCCATAGAGTGCCCACACGCAAATCACGAATGCAACTTTGCCCGCCACAAACACGCACGCCGCCGCCATAGCCGACGCCACCGCCGCCCCTACCTTCTTCCAAAACGCCACCGCATCGTCGCCCCAATCGCGGCCACCTCCATCCCCACGCCGCTGACGGCGGCGGCGGCTCCTCTTGCGCTTCCTCTCGATCTTCTTCACGCCCAGAACCTCCACATCGATTGATTTGAGATCATCTCTTTCTCTTCTTCCTCTTCTTCCACTTTTCCTTGGGGATTTCGATCCGCCCTTGCCCTCGCTTGAATCGCGACGCTTGCTTCTCCTGGACGCGCTCCTCGCCATCCTCGCGGGGGAATTTTCCCGCCCCTTCATAGCCCTAAACTTGAAATTATTAGGGCAAATGGCGGAGCTCCAGCAGAGCCGCGATGGGTGATCCTCTCCTCTGCTCGCGGCAATCGGCCACACGATTCGTCCAATCACAGTGGTGCGGCGGCAATCACAGCTGCCCGTTTTGCAGGAATCACGAGGGGACGAGACATTCGCATTCCGGGAGAGCGAGCGCTGGATTGGAGCGTCCGTTCCTGCTGTGGATTCTTCGCTGCCGCTGTCGCGCGCTGGACTTGGATGACATGAGGAGGTCGTGAAAGCCGATCTTCGAGATCGCTCAAGGTTGATCGATCAGTCATCAGTCATCGTTTTGGTGGCGCCCTTTGAAGCTCGCTTCCCGTTCGAGACGTGGATTATTCCCATCAACCATAGTTCCAACTTTGAGAAGACGAGCGATTCCAAGGTGATGATTCTTCTTTCTTTCTTTTGGTTTACTCTCCACTAACGCATGCATTCTCGTGTATAGATCGGGGATTTGGGGAGATTACTTCATCTAACATTGAAAAAAATAGTGCAGCAATTTCCAGGCGCTCCATACGACTACGTGCTTTACAACAATCCTTTCTGCAAGGAAACCAAGACGGAGTATTTCCGCTGGTACATTGCAATCCTCCCTCGACTGGGAGTGCTGGGAGGCTTTGAGCTTGCCACTGGTTGGACCATCAACACGGTGGCTCCGGAGAAAGCCGCTCAAACTTTGAGGGAGTGCGTCCTCAAATGATCTGGTACATGGTTAAGAGTTTCTCGCTAGAACAGTATCTCTAACAGCTGGTGATTCTTCGTTTCAGGTGCGGATTTTTCTTATCATTCAAGCAATGCTTGACAATTTTTCTCGGATTGTAAGAGAGGTAAATAAATCAATCGAACAGTTTCTTCTTCGATGGTTCCATTCGCACAGACTCTTACAGGTTCGTGACTTTCATGCTCACTGTGCTCTCTCAATTGAGGTAAGCTCTAGCATTGTTCGCATTGCATTAAGAGCTTGCTCGCTCTGCGTTCTTCCATTCTCTTGACCTTTGCTCTTAGTTTTTTGACGGCTTCTCACAATCCTCGTGTACATGGTTTTCTATTCTAAAACTCGCAGTGACAAATGACACTGAGCGATTCTATAAACTATCTGGTAAGATTTTTACATTGTCATGGAATGAAGAACGTGGACGATTTATTTCTCTGTCGATCTCCTTTTCTCTTCCATTTGATAGGGAACGAACGAGACCATAGCAGAATCCTCGTGTTGGTAGCGACATACGATGGCCTTCTAGATCAAAGAATCACTGTCTTATCGATCAAAGAATCGTGCATACTGGAGTTAAATCGCAGAAAGGTTAGTTGTCTTGACTGTTCCTCACTCTCAGAAGGAATCTTTGTTCAGCGTACGAAGAGTTTGTTCCTGGACTGCAGCACAACGATAACAGCAGGGTTCTTTTGAGTTTAGGGTAGGTTTTAAACATACTTAAGGCTTCTTGAACTCGGTCTTTTGGCTCCAGCGATCGCATCATTCCAAGAGTAAGCCATTGTGCTCTTTCTAATGTTGTAATTGCTTCTTTCAGACCTTGCAGTGTAACCTTCATGATCCCAATCAACGGGGGTATGGTTATATTGAAACATACCCCATTCCTTGCGGGATTGCACTGGGAGACCTGTCAGTCTCTCTTGTGCATTTATCTCTTGCATTGGGAAGAAGAATCTGGTCGTGGAAACTTATTTGGGTGGAGTAGCTATTGCTTTCATCCTGTTTACTATGTATGATCTTTAGCAAATTTCTGCACTTGCCATAGCTATCTCATTTGGGTACGATACACTCTATATTTCAAGAAAAAGATAATGTTTTGAATTTCAGTGGGGAACTCCTAAAGCATCAAATAAGTCTTTGATCATCTTATGTTTGGTGAATGGTGTCATCAGTGGTAAATGGCTCTATGTTAGTGTGTTGAACATATGATGGTTAGTATATTTATTTTATTACTTTCTTATCAGATGTTGAGTATATTAATAGGTCTTTGGAAACTTTTTTACCACATGGCTTATAAGCTACCTTTTAAATTATTATCGTCTAAAACTTTTTTGACCATGAATAAAACTTTTTTGATGTTTTGTCATCTTTTATAAATTTATTAAATTTGTACGAATAGTTTGTTTTCTTGTAAAATAGTTAAATCTCTCCCACTTACGCATATCCAGCCCATTTCACTCTAGAAAATTGGAGCATGAGTGATAAGCTTGCCGCTTCTGCTGCCTATTCCCGAGACGCCATTGGAATGAGTGAAGCAAGCTCGTAGATGCCTTCCGGTGCTTGCAGCAACGTACGCATTGCCAATCGTAAATTCAAGGAGATAGTTGCAACAAACGCCTTTTAAAAAAACAACTCATCTAGCTGCTACTCATTCTATTATATATTCTCGCCAAAGTTATTCCATGCTTGGGATCTTTGTCAAGCAAGCTAGTTTTGAAGATGATATTGAACTTGGACGACCTCCTGCAACTAAGCCTTCTTTTCATCGTTATCTGCAACTAGATGGGGCGCCAGCGAAATTCGAAAAGAAACAAACCTCTTCTCAACAGGCCAGTCTGCGGTTGCAATCACCGTCCCGTACTTGGCTCTTCCCGATGACAAGCTGCATTTCAGTGTCCTTGTACAGAATTGATCAGCGGCTTGAAACCTATTAAGATAAACCGACGATCATTTCTTGCTCCATATCAATGCAGCTTCTGATGGCGACCGAGAGCGAGCCCTCCTTGCCATTCTCCACTCCTGCCGCCCTTGCTTCTGCTTCTTCTGCTCTTCAATCGTCAGGCAATCGCGTAACAAGAAACTTACCCGCTTAGATGTCCGATGACCGAAATAGATAGAACATGAGCTCACATATGGTATTCAAAAGCTATGATTAATTCAGGCAAAGTTTCTCCATTCTTATGCCATCAAATTAGTCCCAAATCAACCAACAGCAACACACATTCTTGTTTCGTTATCCATGTCAACTTTAGAGGATGACAATGAAGTGCTAGACAAATCGGCCAGCAGCGAGCACGCAGCAGAGTTCCCAGGATCCAGCGCCAGAACTCCTTGCGCCGCACGAGCTCCCCTCGCAAGATCATTGTGGATCCTACACCCTCCAAGCAAAGCCGTCCACTCCACAACATCCGGCTCAAACGGCATGCTATACACAAGCTCCTCCGCATCGCCCAAATGCCCAGCTCGTCCGAGGAGATCAACCAGCGCGCAATAGTGCTCCCTGTGAGGGCAAACTCCATAGTCCGCCACCATTGTCACAAAACACGCGCGTCCATCGTAAACAGTCCCGCCATGGCTACACGCCAGGAGAACGCACGTAAAGCATATTCCATCCGGATCTATCCCGTCCAGGGAGATCTCCCGGAAGAGCTCCAGCGAACTCGCGAGCTCCCCGTCCTGGGCGAGCGCTCCCAGCATTATACTCCGCGTGGGGGCATCGTGGCAGGGCATCCCATCGTACACGTGTTTCACATCCGTGAGACGGGCGTGCCTGCTGTAGCCGGTTAGTACGGCACCGTAGGTGGCCAAGTTGCGGTACGGCATGCGCTCGTATGTGGCCAACGCTTGCACCATATGCCCGTTCTGGGCATATGCGACGAGGATGCTGGCCCAGGACACCACGTCACGCTCCCGCGAGGAATCAAAGATTGACTTTGACTCGTCAACGCTGCCGTAGCTCCCGGAGGTGTTGACCATGGCGTTCCAGGACGCCGTGTCGTGGCAGGGCATCTTGTGGAAGAGATTCCTTGTCTGGTCAAGATACCCTTTCGCGGCATATGCACCGAGAAGAGTGGTCCACGCAGCTACGTCGCGAGAGGGCATGCGATCAAACCAGAGTTTCGTGTTGTCGATGCTCTCGTTGATGGAATTCTCGCCCAGTATTGCCGTGTAGACATCTTTGTTCCAACCAGGCATCAAATCGAAGACTCGTCTCGTTTGATCCGAGCTTCCAACTTGGCAAGCTGCCGAGAGAAGGGCATACCACGCAACGATGTTCCTCATCGGCATGGAGTCAAAGAAAACGAGAGCCTCGTCGATGAGTCCCCGCTCGCAGTAGGCTCTCAGGATTGCTGTCCAGGCAACGAGGTCCCGGAGCGGCATTCGATCGAAAACACGCTGTGATTCCCGCAGCTGGCCCCCGTGGTCGTAGCCAACCTGCAAGATTGTCCACGACACGACACTGCGATCGCGCATCGCGTCGAAGAGTTTCTTGGCCTCCGCGACGCAGCCGCCGCCGTATGCCTCGAGCATTGTCGTCCAGCAAACGGCGTCCCAGAGCGGCATCACGCTGGACACAAAACTCGCCTTTGAAAAATGCCCATTTTGGGCAAATGCTACGAACATGCTAGTCCAGGAAGAAACATCCCGCTCTTGCATTTGTGAGAAGATGTCTTCGGCTTCAGCCTCAAGGCCGACTCTCGCAAATCCAGCCAGCATCGAATTCGAGGAGCCCAAGTGCCACATTGGCATCGCGTCGAAGATCATCTTTGCTCGATCCAGATGCCCGTTCCTGGCATATCCCGAGAGAAGCGCCGTCCAGGTGATACAATTCGGGCAGGGCATGCGATCAAACGCCGCCTTGGCTGCGTCGAGATCGCCGCTCTGCGCGTACGCTCCCACCATCGAAGTGCCCCCGACAACGTCCATCTGCGGCGCCTTCGCGAGGATCTGTGCCGCCTCGGCGAGGAGGCTGTTGTGGAGGCAGGCCGCGAGGAGCGATCGCCAGGAGAAGAAGTTCCGAGTGCGGAGGGAGTGGAAGACGATGCAGGAGTCCTGGACGCTGGAGCATCGCCCGAATGCGTCGATGAGGAGGTTGGAGAGGTAGACGCCATGGGCGCAGCTCGTCAAGTCGGTGGAGACAATGTGGCGGTGGAAACCTCGTGTCTCAGCGACGCTCTTGCATTCCCTGATGAGCTCCGCCAGTGCCTTCATTCATCACACCATCGTCTTTCATTTCATCTTTCCTTCTATTTGATATTTACTCTCGACGTCGATGCTCTTAACATGAATCGATAGAGATTTTTTTTATGAAGCTTTCCAGGAGCATACCAATGCTTGTGAACAGCACACAGACAAGTGAAATGTAAAAACCAATGACCCCTGCCGCATAGAAATCAACCTCTCCACAATGATCTCGTTTGGGCTCCTGGGTAGTGAGCAAGGTGGCAGTGGAGCTCCACACAGTAATGGGTTGCCACCAAATGCCGCCTCCACAAACCGAGTGTTGAGATTGCCGGAACTTGGAATTGGACCACTCAAGTTGTTGTGGGAAACATTGAAGCTCGACAGTGATGACACTCAAGTTGTTGTGATGAACGCCTTAAGCACTCGCTCTACCTGGTCGATAGGAAGCTCCGCGAATTGGATTCCATGCTCCGGCGTCTTCACGACCACCTCATGCGATCCAAATCCAGAGCGCCGGCTTCGATGACAATCCTCATTGATCGTGCACGACGGCGACAGCGAAGAATCCACAGCAGGGAATGCGTTGTAGCCTGTCTCGTGCTCGTGATTCCTGCAAAACGGGCAGCTGTGATTGCCTTAATCTTTCAAAAATAACTTAAAGTTTAGGGCTATGAAGGGCCCTGGCGAGGAGCAGGAGGCGTCTAGAAGATCGAGGGATCAAGATCCAGAAAGAAAGGAGGAAGAAGAGGAAAAGATGACCTCAAATCGATTGATGTGGAGGTTTTGGATGTGAGGACGATTGAGAGGAAGCCCAGGAGGAGGCACCGGCGATTGGGTCGACGATGCAGTGGCGTTATGGAAGAAGGTAGAGCTGGCGATGGCGGTGGTGTGCGGGGCAAAGTTGCATTTGTGATTTGCGTGTGGGCACTCTAGTTTGCAATTTTTTTTTACAACTTTCTATTCACCAAAGAAGCCTCCTCTTTTCAAATTTACAATATAATAAAAGCAAGAAAAAGGGACATTATGAGAACTCTTGCACCCTAAGCAAAATCTATACCACTAAACCAACCTTGAAGACTTTAAAATTTATTATAGTTCTAAGGAAATATGAAAGAGATAGAGTTTAATTTGATATTTCACAATAATAGCACTTTAACATTTTACATATAAATTTACACAATTGAACTATTAATTTTTGTACTTTTCAATTTAATTTAATTAATTAATTAATATTGTTATAGTCCAATAGTTTTTTATTTTATAATCTTTTTTATATTTAGGTTCTTTACAGTGTTTTATGAGTATAAAAGCTTTTATAAAAATAATTCCTTGACTTAAAAGGCATTATGATGGTTACAATCATGTCGTTACCTCTTCAACTAACTTTTTTTTATAAGGAAGAATTATATACTACAATAGAAAAAACTTCAATAAATGATTAAAATTTTAAAATTTTATTAATGATAATCAACTATTTTGTTTTTAAAAATAAATTTAAAACTCACAAATAAAGTATAAAATGTATTTAAAATATTCTTGGATAAAAACTATAATGATAGGTTTAAATTACTTTTTTAATCACTTTTTATATGTGTAATTTCACTGAAAATGTATTTTTTATTTTCTAAAGATATAAATTATCTTTTTAATAATTTTTATATGCTCATGTTATTATTGATATTGCTTAGATGTATCCATCTTTAAAAGAACTAAAATTATAAAATGTTATTAATGAAAATAAACTATATGGTAAAATTTTGCATTTATTTTTATTTTAAAAATAAGTTTAAACCTCATAAAAAAGTTTTAAAAGTATTGAGAATATTCTTGGATAAAAAATTATATGCTAGGTTTAAATTAATTTTTTAATCACTTTGTAATTGCACTTAAAATATATATTTATTTTCCAAATATATAATTTAACTTTTTCAATTTTTTATATGCTCATTTTATTATTGATATTTCTAAGATATATACATCTTCTAAAAAACTTTTATGATTAATTATATATTGAGATTTTGTTATTAGATGAACTATAGTGTACTCTTCTTTATTCAACTTAACCTTTAATAATAATTATTTATTAAGATTTTATTTTTTTAATTTTGAGAATAACACAATATAATACAAGTAATATGGTTGGGATTTAAACTGTAGCATTCACATATTTTAAATTTACTTTTTGTATGTAGTGATTGCCTCGTTATTATGATTGATATTAAATGGTTGATAAATAAAATATTAAAATTTTCTCTTCAATTTTTTAATTTTTAGTGATCCCACTAAAATAGATTATTGTGAATGTTTATACTTCATGGTTTTTTGTTTTATGAGTTGTTGAGATCATTCATAAATTTTAACTTTTTAATTTTTTAAATTTTTAGTTTTTATTTTTTAATTGTTTTTTTGAAAAATATAATTTTTAATGTATTTTTTAAAAAATATATAAAAGAAAATAAAAAACCTTTGATCAATTAACATTGTTTGAATAATTTATTTTAGTTTTATTGATCTCCTCATATAAACTTAACTGAAAGCTGAGAATGCAACAACAACAAATCAAAACTGACTTGGGAAACAATTTGTATGGGATTTAATTTTTTATTTGAGTTTTTTTTATTATGACTCCTATGTAGTCCCTTTTACATAGGTTTGAAATTTTTAAATACAACACATGTTCATGATACTTGAATTCAGTCATGGAATTTCCAATGGCACAACCAAAAGGATAATGAAGCTTGTAGCTGCCAATCATAAATTCAATGTGATAGATGCAACAAACGCTTTCAGAAAAAACAGCTTAGATAGCTGTTGGCAAATAAACTTCATGCCAGCATTTGCTTGACAAAGATCCCAAACAAGGAGTGTTGAGCACATACCTGCCTGCTGTGCTTGATTCGGGCAAAGTTTCTCCATTCTTATGCCAATCGACCTTCACTTGGATTCAACCAACAGCAACACACATTCTTGTTTCGTTATCCACGTCAGATGACGATGAATTGCTAGACAAATCGGCCAGCAGCAAGCACGCAGAAGAGTTCCCAGGATCCAGCGCGAGAAATCCTTGCGCCGCACGAGCTCCCCTTGCAAGATCATTATGGATCCTACACCCTCCAAGCAAAACCGTCCACTCCACAACATCCGGCTCAAACTGCATGCTATACACAAGCTCCTCCACATCGCCCAAATGCCCAGCTCGTCCCAGGACCAGCACGCAATAGTGCTCCCTGTGAGGGCAAACTCCATAATCCGCCACCATTGTCACAAAACACTTGCGTCCATCGTAGACAGTCCCGCCATGGCTACACGCCAGGAGAACGCACGTAAAGCATATTCCATCCTATCCCGTCCATCCGGAAGCCTTCCTTAAATTGCAAAGAGTGATAGAACAAAAAAAAAACCTTTCTTTACACTCATTTGATATTCTCAATGATCTGGCCTTGCTGGGCACTGTGGAGAATCAAGTCCTCCATACCTCTTCACATTGTCCAACATGACAAGTGGCAAGTGCAAACTAGAACACCAAAAATTTTAAATGCAGTTTTATAAACTTATGTGCTCACCTCTTGGGAGAAGAACTTGAGCTAGGATCATTTCTCTGCCTAGAGAAAATTGTGTGTCTCTGCTTGTGTACATGCATGCTCATAGATGTTAGAGCAAAAGACTAACATTTGCTCATAGTTAGTTTATGAGCTAACTAAACTCATAGTTAGTTTGTAAAGTGCTCATAGTTTTCTAGGACCTTCATTTGCTCATAGTTACGATCAGCTTTCCAATCTGAAGTAAAAGGCTGTGTTTAAGTTCTATAGTCAAAATCTTCAAGGAAGTTTTTGGAAAATGAATATGAATATTTATATCATTTTAATTTATATGAAGGTCCTAGAAATTTTGAATTCAATTACTAAGTATAAAATAATCCAAAAAGAATCTTTATTGTTTAATGTTTTTTTCTCTAACTATTCAACATAATAGGAAAGCAAACCAAGCTTTGCTGTGTAACAAAATTCTTATTTTATACAATTGACATGGTTATAAGTATTTGTTGCCCACCAAATTTTATTTGGTCTTTTCACTTCATAAGAAACTAGATTGCAATCATTTTGTAAAGTTAAAAATGTTATAGATAAACATTTAATGCAATATTTATTAATAGACCACATAATAGTATTTTTTTCAGAATATAATACTATATTGCCATCTGTTTGAAGAGTAAAAACACAATGTCCAAAATAATCATATTTACTTCCTTTACTCCATAATAAATATTTTCCAGAATATAAAGAAACTTTACAATTTGACTCAACCAGTAAAATATTTTTCCCATTTGGAGATGTTATAAATTGGTTGGTATAAAGTAAATTATTTTTAAATCCAATTTTCAAAGATGTTTTACTCATATCACAATTATTAGTACTATGTAATGAATAGGTATTATCTTTATTTTTGTATCTGTTGTGATTATATTTAAAAACTATACTATATTCAAGTTGATAAAGTGTAGAAGTTATTTGACATTCATCAGAACGTGCTTTAATTAAAGCATTTTCGTATGAATTAAGTAATCT